AGACTTGTTTTATCTCTCGTTTTAACCTGCTAAAACAATGCCATTGTATTATCTACCAAACAAAGTTCCATATGAAACAGTGGAAGCTAAAGCCAAAAGGGCAAAGCTTTATCTCCATGGATTTATCTTTGATCATCTCCTCTATTGCACTGTATTTTCAAGTTCAATCAACATTGAATAACCATGTTGTCTATGAATCTATTCGATTGCAATGTCTCAAATTTATGAGTCAATATGTGTGCGTTGACCCGAGAGATCTACGTAAATGCTATAGAAAGACAGTCCGAAGTCTTTCGTGGAAGGTGATTAGTTCTTTACACTTACGTATGTGATTTCATCAAGTCTATCTCAATATAGGTCATTCAAATTATGATCTATGAAATCATTAAGAGTATTTTATAAATTCGGCTTCTCAATTTTAAGATTCAGTAAATTTATCAAGTTCGTCTCAAATTATCTAAATATTGAGCAATGAACTAATTAAAAACATAAAAACTCATCATTTATATCGTTAGATTCATCAAGTCCTTCTCACCATGATCGTATAAATCCTAGGATACGAATTAGGGATGTAAATTTAACCTGAAACCGATAGATTCTAACTAGGGATAGCCATAGGTCGAGTTTGGGTCGGGTTTCGGCCAACCCGACCCAAAAAATATATACCCTCCACCCGATCCAAATTTTTTAGATAAAATCCAAACTCGATCCGACCCGACCCAAAATAATAATAAAAATATTATTTTTTATTCAATTAAAAACAGTGATTTAATTAAAAAATAATATATATATATAGAGGGGTATTATTGTAACTATTCTACATGCCACCGGATAACATTGCTTCTCAGTCGAAACTGATATCGGCATGGGAGAAAAAGACCGGCCGGGCCTCGAGAAGAGTACATGTTCCTGAGGAGGAACTTGTAAAGCTCTCTCAGAGTAAGCCAACAGCCTCATCTCATCTCATATATATATATATATATAAAGGTAAATAATGAATTAATTTTGTGTATTTGTAGCCTTACCTTTCCCGGACAACATTCCGGTGTCGATTTTACACAGCATATACGTAAAAAGAGATCAAATGAGGTATGAAGTGAAGGAAGATGTGGAGGCATCTAAGCTTTATCCTGACTATAATTATACTTCCATTGATAAGTGTCTTGATATGTACTTGCTTGACCCTGTAATAATATTTTATTAGGTAAAAGGGTATTTAAAAAAAAATTAATATGACTTTCGTATGATCTCTTCTTTCTATGTAGTCCTTCGACTCAAAATAAAATTAATGTAACCCTTTAACCATCGTTTAAGTCATTTGTCATTAGGATGCTTTAAGTTACCATAAGTTTCTGCAAAAATCATCTTTACGATTCTTTTCCTTTACTTACAACAACTGCCCATGCAACCGAAAATTGATTATTTTCATCTCAACCAATAGTCACAAGCAGTATTCTCTTTGTAATAAATTTGAGAAAACATCCACATAAGTAGGAATTAACGTAGCCTTTGGTCAATGATGGAAAACATTGATCAAAGGGTCATATTATATTCTTTTTTTTTTTTAAATTGAAAAACTATATTGAGAAAAAAATGGCCATATTAATTTTTTTTAAAATACAGAGATTTTACGTACCCTTTTACCTACTTTATTTATTGAGAATGAGAATTGAGAATATTTTTAAATGGACGATTGCTCCCGAGAAGTGAGTAAGATATGGGCGTGCATGACCCAATCACAACAATGTAAAGTTTGGGTCAAGGTGTACTTATAATAATAGGCCCAAGAGTACCCAAAAATTCGAGATTAAATGGATGAGTTGTAAGAAATGAATTCATTGTTAATGGATTAATTATGGGTTTAACCACAAAGCGTGCTTCTTCCTCTTCTATGTGTTAAATTAGGACTCAAACCTTCTAGACCGTTCATCTTCTTTGTTGCTTTTCTTCTTTAACATATCAGTCTATCACCTTTCACCTTCTCCAACAAATCATCGGTCACAATTCTCTACTTAAACTAAGAAAGACAAATCGTCTACGTGTGATGTTGTAACCCACATTGTATCATCAACAATGAATAAACTTCTGTAGAGGGAGCCATCCTCCTACCCTAATTTTTTCATTTGCAATTGATACTGATGATTTTAAATCGATACATATATTTGTTCGAACAATAATAAATCTCGCACCAAATTAGTTGTGATAGCAATCTCTGATTGATAGAGACAATGACACGCACGCACGCACGCACACACACGCACACACACGCACGTAGGCCTGTAAACGAATCGAACGCACACGAACGAAGGTATGTTCATGTTCGTTCATTTAAAAAATAAACGAACATAAACGAACACGAACATAAACGAACAAATTTTTTTTGTTCATGTTCGTTTATTAAGGAATATAACTTGTTCATGTTTATTCATTTAATAAATAAACGAACATAAACGAACACGAACATAAATGAACACGAACATAAACGAACATAAACGTTGGAGACCCTACCTTCCATTGTTCTTTCATGAAAAATAGTCGACAATGCAAATTAACCAAATCTACAGTGATAAATAGCGTAAGAGCTTATTAGCAGTGATGAAATGTTTGAAGATATCAAATATTTCGATCTATCTTTTAAAGATATTAAATGATTCACACGACTTTAATTTAACGCTATAACATTTATCTTAGTGTTCCATGATTACATATGAACAATCATTTTCCGCTATTACACTCTTTTTCAGAAATTGTATAGAAACCTTTGTTTTGTTTTCTGGCAAATTCTATATATTTTTATTTTTACTAATGCTCATATACTTCCGATTTTTACCTTTATCTTCCCATCTATTTCTAGAAAAAAGTATTATGTTTTATTGAGTTTTAGATGTGAAGATACCCACAATAACTTTACATATCAACTATTAAGTCAAATAAAACAGAGAAAGAGATGAAAACAGACATGTAAAACTTCATATTGCACTATAATATAACTTGTTTTGAATATTTCAGATCGTCTCCACTCTCCAGTGAACAATAAGGTTTGGGGAAAAAAGGGGGAAAATGAATATAAGTGCGAGGTGCCTCACAGGTTAACATATTGGATTTAATCTCCAAATAAAATTAGGTTAATTATGGAGTTGGTCATTAGAATATCAGATTAATATTTTTAAGATACTTACAAATTGGTCACCAAAATCGATTTAAGAAGATTGTGTTAAACATAAATGAATGAACATAAACGAACATAATCGAACGAACATAACCAAACGAACATAATCGAACGTTCACGAACGTAAATGAACGAACGAGACCTATGTTCATGTTTGTTCATTTAATTAAACGAACAAAAAATCTTGTTCATGTTCGTTCATTTAATAAATAAACGCACATAAACGAACTTCCCGCCGCACGGTTCATGAACGGTTCGTTGAACGTTCAGTTCATTTACAAGCCTACACGCACACACACACGCACACGCACGTGCACACGCACGCACGCACACGCACACACACGCGCACACACACACGCGCGCGCGCACACGCACACACACACGCACGCACGCGCGCGCACACACACACGCACACACACACGCGCACACACACGCGCACATACACACGCACACACACACGCACACACACACGCACGCACACACGCATACACACACGCACACACACGCGCGCACACACGCACACACGCACACGCGCGCGCACACACACGCACACGCACGCACACGCACACACACACGCACACACACACACACGCACGCGCACATACACGCACACACACGCACACACACACACGCATACACACACGCACACGCACGCACACACGCACGCACACACGCGCACACACACATAAATATAACATAAAATTTTTGTATGGGTGCGTACAAATAAAGTTTTAGGGTAAACACTATTAATAAAATGAACAACTAGCATAAAAAAATTGAATTTCAGTGTTCATTCATATCAAAACCTACATTCGTCACTGAATCGAGAATCGACAACATTAGTATTATTTAACATCCAAAAACTATAAGGATCATTGAAGAAATTTATCAAAGTTGCTCATAAAGTGTATATAATTTTAATAAAATTAATATTATTTTATTAATTTAAGATAATTATAAGGGTAGTATTTATTCTAAAGACCCTTAATTATTTGATAATAAACACTCTAATATCTTATAGTTGTAGGTGTTTAAACTCGATAACTCTAAAAATAATGATCATATCTTTCATCACTAAAATAATTTAGTTCATGCATCCCTTTAAAAAATAATTTAGTTCGTGAAAATAAAATTATTGATAAATGTCGATTTGCAAATTCAAAATTAATCTTTAAATTCAAATAAACACGTGAGGATTTCAACAATATCATAATAACTTAGAAACCACTATACATAATAATATTTAGGATAAATTACGAATTTGGTATTTAAATCATCAATTTCGATTCGTTTTTGTATCTAAATTTTTAATTTTTTTAAAAATCATATCGAATATTTAGTTTTTATTTCATTTTAGTACATGTTGTTAAAAATTTAACGCATTTAGTACCTAAACTATCAGTTTTGATCCGTTTTAGTACATAAACTTTCATTTTTTTTCTCAAAACTTAACGTTAAATTTTGAGCGGATACTAAAATAAAACAAAAATTAAAATTTTTAACGACGAGTACTAAACTGAAACAAAAACAAAATTTTAAGTATGTTTTTAAAAAAAATGAAAGTTTAGATACTAAAATGGATCATAGTTAATAATTTAGATACTAAACATGTAATTTACCCTAATATTTATTTTGATCTGTTTATTTAATTAATTATCAAAATAATAAAAGATCATTGTTATTTTTTTTCTTATTATTCATTAAAAAAAACCCAAAATACACCTTGTAAAACTAAACTATCCATTATCTAATAGATATTTATTTATATATTTATTTAATTTTAAGGTTCTTCTCTATCCCTTTCAAAGCGAAAAAAAAAGATTTTTATTAAAAAAAACAATTTTTTTTAACCTAGCCATTCCTCTCTCTCTCTCTCTCTAAAATCGATCCTATATATATTTTTCTCTCTACCTGCGACTCTTATTTTTTTCAGAATCTTAAACGCCGGCGTATCTCCGCCGCGATCTCTGCCTTCTAGAATTCTCAATGGCTGACGGAAAATTAGATCTACCTGATGATCTCCTCTCCTCCAAAACCAGCTCTGATCACTCCTCCCTCAAAGGTATTCTACATTTTTCCCTTTTTTTTTAAATTTCGATCAATTACTTCTCTCATTGTTTCCTCTAATTTTAACTTTTTGCATGTCTATTTTATTGGTTATAATTTCATTTGAATCTGTGCGTTTGCCTAAATCTTTAATCCTTGACAGAGCATTTCATTATTTTAATTTCGATAGATCTGTTTAATTTATTGGTTGTAGATTTCTGATTTCGTTCATGATTCATTTGTTTTCCCTCCTAAGATCTCGTTCGATTCTGTTAGTCTTCCATTTTTTTACTGCGTTGTTATTCAAAGGTTTTCCCCATAAACGCAAAGATATTATAACAAAGAAGTTCATAATTGTTTCTATGTTGAATTATATTTAGCTCAAACCTTCCGTTCAAATGCACTAGTGGTTTGATAACAGATCGCACTTTTTTAATAAAAAAAAAGAATATTGGTTTAGTTGTTTGTCATAATTATTGGAAAATGTAAACTGCCAGCGCTGAAGTTGATATGGTACTGTAGTATGCTTATCCTTTGAAAAGATTCAATTCAATGAAAGGTTCATCACCTGCTTCAAGGAGACTTGGCAGTTCATTTTCAAATAATTTGATAATTTAGGGAATCCATGGAAATGAGCCTGGAAGTTGTGGTTATGTGTTTGTCTGCCAAATTCACCTATGGATTAATTATCTTTGATCTTTTTATTTTTTTAGGTGAAGCATGGGAAAGGAACATGGAGGACAAGGGACTCACTGGGCTACTTGAGGACACCAAAGGTGATGATCTTTGTTGAATATTTAAGTTTTTTAAATTTGAAAGCTTGAACAGCTCTTTTATTGTAAAATTAAACCTTTTCTTGTTTGGCCAGTAGGTCAAGCAATTTCAGAGAGCAACGTACCTTTGTCCCCACAGTGGCTTTACGCTAAACCGTCTGATTCCAAGATGTTAACTGCTGGAACTTCTGGAGTATGGAACTCAATTTCTCTTATTAATGTTTTTAGGCCACTTACGTTTATTTCCATATGAGTCTTAATTTGTTGATTTCTAGTCTCTTTTATCCTTGTGGTCGAAGTTCGGGTAAAAATTACATCTGATTTCATGAATATTAGTCAGACTAGATTCCATCATTTAACAATGCTCGTCACAAATTATATATGACTTTTAGCTTATTGTCAAATTTTTATTTTGGTTTGTATCCTTCCAGTGTTGTAATTATTTACTCTTAACAGGATATAAGAATGTCAAATTTGTTGCCCAATAAAGCCTCTGGTGATCCCAACCCAAAAGATAGTTGGCATTTGGATGGGTCTCAAGACAAGAAAGACTGGAGGAGGATTGCCCCTGATCTTGAAAGCAGTCGCCGTTGGCGAGAAGAAGAGAGAGAAACAAGCTTACTTGGCCGAAGAGATCGTAGAAAAGAAGACCGCCGTGCTGACATTTCATCGACAAGGGATGTTCCTGAAAATAGGACCTTGGCGTCTTCAGAGAGATGGCATGATGTTAGCAGTCGCAATTTGAGCCATGAATCTCGTAGAGACAAGAAGTTGTCTTTGAGATGGCGTCCTGAAGACAAAGAAAATGATTCTCGAACTGAGAAGAGGAAAGATGCTGAGAAGGAAGCTGGCCCTACTGACAAACAAGCTCTTGTCGGTGGGGTCCGCTTAGCTTCTGAACGTGAGAATGATTCTCGTGATAAGTGGAGGCCACGGCATCGTTTAGAAATTCATGCAGGTGGGTCTGCTTCTAACAATAGTGCTCCAGGATTTGGTTCAGAAAGGGGACGAGCGGAGGGATCAAATGTGCGATTTGCAGGACGAGGTAGGTCAAATGCTAATGGAAGCCTACATATTGGGAGGCTAAATTCTGCTTCTGCCATTGGATCTCTTCCTCTGGACAAAAACAAAACTTTTTACGCATATTGCTACCCAAGAGGAAAACTCCTTGACATTTACCGCAAGCAAAAGACTGCTCCAAATTTTGACATCCTGCCTGATGAGATGGATCATTTATTACCAATAACGCAAAAAGAAACAGTCGAGCCTTTGGCTTTTGTTTCTCCTTATGAAGAAGAAGAGGTACCGTATGAGGCTTTTAATATGATTTAGAGAAGAAAGATGTATTCATATTTATCCTTCTATGTGGTTGCATCAAATTTTCTTGCTTGATTATTGCAGGCTGCCCTTGGAGATATATGGAAGGGAAAAACTACAAGCAGTGGAGTGTTGTACAATTCTTCTAGAGAAACAAGCATGGACTATGGAAACAGATTTTTTGCTAGTGTTTTTCTTGGTGAATAATTAGATATGATTGAGATCTGAGTTTATCTATTTGGTCCTAATCCAATATTCCTGATGTGAATTCAGGTGAAGGGACACAAAGTTCCTCGGTTAACAGGGACGATAATGTTGATTCAGGTGAGAAGCCTGCTGTAAACAATAACCATCTAGGGAAACATACCGAGGCATATGCGACAGGTTCATTGATAATTGTGACCAAGGGTAGGAAACTATCATTTTTAGTTGTCAGCTCAGCTATCAGTTATTCATTAAGAATATATTCATTGATTTGTTCTGCTTGTCCTTACAGAAATGGATAGTTCTAAAGGTGGGCTACGATGTGAGTCACCATCTGACATAGATGTAACCCATGCTTTTGTATCAAACAGCGAGATTGGTGGGTCCATAAATGAGGCTGATGTAATAAAATCTTTTGATTACGGAGAAGTCACTGATTTGAAAATGCAAAAAAACCCTACGTTGAAGGACAATGAATCATCCATGCAATTTGGAGTGGGTGGCGAGCTTCCTGAAGACTCTAGTTCTCTATTTGATTTTTCTTCATTACAGCCTACTCTAAGTCCTAACCAGATAAATATTAAGGGCAATAATGAGGCACATTCGTTGGAAAGTGTTATCCCTCCTGAGCATTTGAGTTTGTGCTATCTTGATCCTCGAGGGGTAATTCAGGGACCATATCTGGGAATCGACATAATTACATGGTTCGAGCAAGGTTATTTTGGTACAGACTTACTTGTTCGATTGGCGGATGCTCTGAATGGATCACCTTTCCAAGAACTTGGTGAAGTCATGCCACACCTAAGAATGTATTCTAGTTCTACATCCAGTGGTAATACAGTTATGGGAATGCAAGCCGATTCTTTTGCAGGGAGCTTGGGAGAGACCTCATCGTCTGCTTCTGCTCCTGAGTTGAAGGGATCTGCCATTGGATGTGATCAGAAGCGGACTTTGTCTGCTGTTGAGACTTCTGGTACTGAGTTTCAGTTAAGACGACCTACTCAAAGTTTTCATTCTGAGCATTCTGAAGATCTGAGCCTCCATAAATTCACTGATGCTCAAGAAGAGGGTAAGTTTAATGGGTTGGAGGCATTGTTGATTTTGTTATTTGTTGTGTTTGTTAATGATGCCTTCCTTCCATCCTGATTCCTGTGTGATGCAGAAATTATTTTTCCTGGAAGGCCCACAAGTGCTGCTGCTGATCCTGCAAATCATTTGTCCATTACAGATGTATTTTCAAAAACTAATATAATTTCTCATCAAGAGGATGAGTTGCATCCGTTTGGTTTGTTGATGTCTGAGTTGAGGAGCCCATCTGGTTTGAAGCATTCTCATTCATCTAATATAGCTTCTAGCATAGGTGATAGGGGACAGTTTTTCGATCCTTTGCTTGATGGAGAGACAGATTTTACTGGTCAGAGTGTTTTTTGTACAGTTGCTGAACAAACTTCTTTTCAAGAGGTTTGGCCTGATGATTATAGAAGAAATGCTTTGTCTAACCCTAACATTCATCTAGGAACTGCTGGTGGGCGCTCCTCACCTCACATGGAGCAAGAATACAGTGGTTTTAGCCTGTTACAGCAACTAATGTCAACAAAGTTGCCCAATGAACCGCTTCAAGAGAAAAATCATATCTCTCACCCCTTTCCACATTCTGCTGGATTTGATGGAGAGCAAATTCATTGTTTTGATCTGATGAGCAAAAATTTTGATCTCCAGAAGCCAATCCATCATTCAGCTCCACATATGGAACATCTTTTGGAGCTTCAGTTTCAACAAGAGCGGCAGTTGGAACTTCAACGACAGCAGCAGAAGTTGGAACTTCAGCGACAGCAGCAGCAGTTGGAACTTCAGCGGCAGCTGGAACTTCAGCGGCAGCGGCAACATCAGCTGGAACTACAGCGGCAGCAGCAGCTGGAACTACAGCGGCATCAGCAGTTGGAACTACAGAGGCAGCATCAGATGGAACTCCAGCGGCAGCAGCAGCTTCGCCACCATCAAATCAAATTGTTACAGGAGCAGCAGCAACAACATATACAGCTTCCACATTCTCAATCTCAGGAATTGCTCATTGATCAATTGCTGCAGCATCAGATGACTGGTCCTGGTTATGGTCATCACATATTTGATGCTGCTAGAGACAACATACTTGATCAAGTTCAGTTACGAAGGCATATCCTGAGTGAATCACAGCAGAATTCTCTTGCTTCAAGACACCTGGATCCTTCATTGGAGCAGATCATCCAAGCGAAGATTAACCAGAGTGCACTCCAGGGGCAACGAGCTGAATATTTGGATTTAATGTCACAGGCAAAGTATGGCAATATGCTTCCTTTGGAGCATCAGCTTCGTCTTCAACAAGAGCAGTTGCAAGTGCAGCAGTTATCTATGGCTCTGAGACAACAATTAGGACTGGAGGGGGATAGGAGACTTTCTGGTTCATTGTCTGTGGATGAAGTTGGTCAATTTGTGGGGAATCCCAGCAATAATCATCTGGCTCATTCTGTAGGGTTGAATGCTTCAGATCTTTACCAGAAGAGGCTGTCCCCTCTTGAAGAGCATTACTGCAACCTTAGAAAGAATCATGCTTTGCAGGACCTACCGGAGCGAGGGAATTTTGACCCCAGCTCTACAGCATTTGGCAGGTTGAATCTCCCTGCAGCTGCTCCTAGGATGAAAGTAGAAAATGCAAATTCTCTAGATCTAGCTGAAAACCTTTACATGCACTCCAACAATCAACTTGGTCCTTTTTCTTCAGGTAACCACCCTCTTAGCCAGCAATTTTCAAGTAATGCATTTGCACCTCATCCTGTGGCAATGGATAGCTTCGACTCAAGGAAAAATGAGCAGCTAGAAATGAGTTGGACCACAAAACAGATGCAGCAATTAAATCTTGAAGCAGAATTGCAGAGAAGGGAGTCTGAAGTTGATTCAAGCCCTTGGGCATCAGCTGGAGGGGTTCATGACAACTCTAAGAAAGCTTTAATGGACCTTCAACAAAAACTTGTTATTCAATCAATGCAATCATCAGAAGTTGATTGTCAACATTCTACTACATCTTCTAGAGGGAGGGAAACCTTTGGGCCTGTTTCTGAGCAGCAAACTTCCAATTTTCCTTTTAGTCATTTTCCAAACCAGGAAAATCACGCGAACTTGTTTCCAGAAGGCCTTCAAAATTCATGTGCATTGTTGCAAGATCATTTGCATGGAGTTGCTGCAAGTGGTTCTGTCAACCAAATGGTTAACTGTGAAAGATTGCCTCTTAAAACTGGTTCTGGCTCATTTGTAGAAGAGCAGTCATTCTTGATGGGCATCGAAGACCCTTGTAGTAATGCAGATGCTAGCTTGATGAGAAAATCAGCTGCGGATATAGAAATAGCAGAACTGGTAGCAAACGAGAAGGAAAATGATTCTGTGCCAGTGTTTGAAGACAATATGCAAGCAGACACGGCCTTGGAGTACGGTGATCTACGAAGTAGCATCCATAGCCGGCATAATTCTCATAGTACTGGTAATCTCTTTTACGATTTTTCCCAAGCAGAATCCATTTTTTACATGAATTAAACCTGAAAAGTGGAATCCTGCAGATGGGAGCGGTGGGTTGCATGGTTACGAATTTGGATTTGATAAATCGGTTGGCTATGATGTTTCCACGGATAGGTGGGGTTCTTTTACTACGCGGTTTATGCAAGAGAATAGTACTTAATGTCCATCATCATAACTTGTAATAGGAGCTTTTGCGTTAATTTTAATGTTATGCGTTCTTAGTTTTAACCAATCGAATTTAATTTGCAAAACGATCTAAGGACCTCTTTTATTGATAAGGTTACCTTCAATACTACCAAAGGGACTGGACAAAGTTTCGCAAAAATGCCCACCTGTGCCGAAGGTTTCTTCATCCCAGGATGTCTTTTCTGATCAAAACTCACTGGCATTTGTCAAACAGAACAGTTCTGCAAGCCTTACAACTTCCGATGGTATGATTTCAACTTCTCTTTTAATTATAGAGAAAGATGAATGAAGAAAAGAAAATTTTCGAGACCTATGTTTCTTAAATCGTATATATTGGTCACGATATCTTGTGTTTTATTGACTGAGTTCAGAAGGAAGACAGGAGACGGCAGCAAATCTAGGATCAATGAGTTGCGTAGAAACTCAGGCATCGGGCAAGAAAGACGTCCGTTTTAGAAGGACATCATCATGCAATGATGCCGCTGTGTCTGAAGCATCATTCATGGAGATTCTAAAGAAGCCGGTGGTTCGCGGGAACGAGGCGGCTAACAACACTTGCTTGGAACCATCAGATGGCGGTCTACAGGCCGGACGCGGCAAGAAGAAAGGGAAGAAAGGAAGACAGATTGATCCTGCGCTATTAGGTTTCAAAGTCACAAGCAACCGTATAATGATGGGTGAGATCCAACGCCTCGACGATTGACAACAACAAACCACACTTACTATGTACATCCCCTGTAAATCTTTTTAACCCTTATAGATTATTTTTGAGAAGCATAGGCAATTAATTGATTATTTTTTTAATAATAATAAAGGTTTTTGTCTTGCAATGAAGGGTCTGATTAAATATTTCGTTCGAGATCATATGATCGAGAAAATGAGTGTCGATCTTGTTAAGTGTCGATCATTTAACGAGATCGATACTGAGTGGTGTGGTTATAGTCCAAAAAGTGTTGAGAAATTTGAATTGTTCTATACTTTGGCGGGGTATTAACCGTATTTGGAACATATGAGAAACAGTATGGTATGAAATGTTAGTAATGGGAAGACGATAGCCTTTTGGAGGGATACCTACATCCCTAACTGTGGTCCATTAGCTGATCTGACTAATGGTTCCGCTGATGAACGTCAACTAAACTAATTTAAATTTTTGACTCGATTGTGGACTTTCAGTATGTTCTAAACTCATCATTTTTCGTTAAATATTGACAAAATTTTGATCTGAATGTTAATCTTGTTGACTGTGATAAGATAAAATATGATCATAAATTCTCAAATGATTATCATATCTCAACTATTATATTAACATTCAGTTTAAACAACCGTTAATTTTTTTTAAGGAAAATGATAAGTTTGGAATATAATAAATAATCGAGAAACTTAACAAAGTAACATTCTATTGTCAAAAGATCATTTTGTAAGTTTTAATAGTCAATGTACTTAATAAAATAATATCTTATAGTTGGGGATCGTTTGTGTACTTTATCCATTTTTTTGTTATTCTTTTAGTTTTTTCAAGGTTTTATCATAACTATTTTAAACAGACGCAGGATTTTGTCCTAACTAAATAGGAAAGACACATTATACAGTTGATTTCAGTGAAAGAATCTTTCAACAAAGATTTTATGCGCATACGATGCCTCTGATTATCATAGGGTGGGTTAAAAACAAGAAATCAGTTGTCAACAACTGATTGATCCACGTGGAAAATTCAGTCCCTTACCAGAGACGTTCATGGAACCAATATATCTGCTTGGTGCAATGATAGAGAGTAGCATGTAAAGATGTATTGAAGAAAAAGGTAACGAAATTCATCAATATATGGAAATAATGGGAGCTGAAATTAATAGATTAAATACTAATAATTAATTCAATAAAATGAGAGTTGATATTGGCCGTTGAAGTTGCTATCATATCAGAAATGTTACTCAAACACCGTCCAGTAGAGTAAGAAAAAAAGAGCAAAAAATATTTGTGAAACCATGATAGTTCTGTTACTGTAATCTAATTTTAAAAACGGTAGAAAATAAATGTAATAAAAATATTATAAAAAAATATAATATTTTTGGTTAAACGTAATTTAAAATGTTAACCTTTTAAGTTAACATCAAACATGCTACGTTAGCGACTGTTAATTATATAGTTTTCTAGTTAATAATTTAACGATATAGTGATATAATTGACTGTAAAACTAATATTCAGTATTATAATTAATAAAATTAAAAGTTTAATGGTGTAAACGAGTCAACAATCAAAGTTCAGTAGCATCTGAAACAATTTTACCTAACAATTTAATATAAAATTATTACTCCTTTACGGAAGAATGCAATTATCCAACTATTATTTTAATTTAATGAAAATTTTAAATAAATTATTAAATTTATTAAATTATTTCTATACTTGCATGATCTGATATAAAGCAAAGATGTGCTCCTGCTACCGACATAAATTAATATGGAGCAGTAATAAGAAAATTCCTGAAAGATTCAACACTGTACAAATTGTATCTTTTCACGTAATTATGGTTATGCTACTCAATAGGGTTTGATCAGTGGATACGTCGAAGTAATCATCCTTAATATGGTTCTTTAGCGGTGTTTTTCGTCGTTAACCGTTATGATATTCACGTGACAAACGTGGCGATCCATTTACTATGTTTGAGTTACTGTTGTGTCTTATCTTTCATGTTATCTACTATGTTATCAACTACTGTAGATTATCATGTCAGTACTGTAGACCACCACGTTAGCATAGTGAACTGCCACGTCAGCATTGTAACGTTCAACGACGAAAAATATTGGTCAAAGAATCACACATGATTTATTTTCTGAGTTAGAGGATCACATCGAGAGAGAAATAATACGCGGTCACATTGTTTTTTTTTTTGAAGTACATGAACCTCTCATATCTTTTTGCCTTAAAATTATCATATATTTTGAATTATTTTATATATTTTATTGAAAATCTGTTTTTTGTTCCCTTGAAATTTTATAAATCAATATTTTCTTTAAAGTTTTAAAAGTTTATTTTCCCTAACATAAAATCATGTATCTGTTCTTTTTTAATCAGGGTTGACACTTTATATATAAATATATATATATAGATAGGTAGATAGATACTTGTTTGATGTATAAGTTGTTGTATCTAGGGGTGTATTCGGTTCGGTTCGGTTTTTTACCAAAAATTGAACCGAACCGAAATAAACAGTTTTTCAATATTTAAACCGAAACCGAAATCGAATAGTTAAAAAACCGAAAAAACCGAAATCGGTTTTATCGGTTCGATTCGGTTTTTTTAACGGTTCAGGTTTTTCGGTTCGGTTCGATTCGGTTTTTCGGTTTTTCAATGAAAAAATCACTTGAAACTATAATTTTTTTTACAAAAATTGCCTATTCGGTTCAATATGGAACAAATGAGTTCCATATGGAAAACCCGAACCGAATCGAATCAAAAAAATGAAGCCTTTAAACCGAACCGAAAACCGAACCGTTTAAAGCCAAATCGAACCGAACCGAACTGTTTTACTCAGTTCGTATCGATTTTCTCGGTTTCGTTGCTCAGCCCTAGTTGTATCCATGCAAATGACTTATTACAAGAAACCAGAATCGGCAAAAGTTAACAGCGGTGTTGGTTGTCATCATATGTACGTGTATGTAGTTCACCACCTGCAGATTGAGGGGCAAAGGGTGGAGTTATCCCTTAACTGTTGGGAGATTGATTGAAAGCTAAGGATCCAACACAATGCACTATGATATTCACCCACGTGGTAAAAAGGAAGAACATAATTACATGGGGGTGGATCCTAGTTTAAGGTGTTTTGTCTCGATGCTCATAACATCTTCTTCTTCGTCAAGCTCCAAATAGAATATCATAGTGTATAAGAGCCTGCAGTACTGTGTGAATGGTACCTTTTCTCGATCGAAAATTCACACATGGTACAATATTAATAAATCTTATACTTATTCGACCCGATTAGAGTTTTTTTCTCTTCTACCCGTAGTTTTTTTTTAAATTATATTTATTTATTATTAATCGTTTTAATATTATAAACCATGTCACTATCTTTTATGCCTGCATAAGGTGCAAATCCATTATGACGTCACTGCATGGGGGGGGGGGCAGTTCATTTTATTAAAGCTGCAAAAGAGATGCATTATGGGGATCATGGTCAATAGGGAAGGGGGGGCATACTAACTAAAAGTTAAACTTGCCTCACTCTTGGTCCCATATCAAGATGCCCATGTTTTCATATAATTTGGAAGGTCTTAAATTAGAATCAATATTGTTGATAATATCAAATGATTTACGATGATTGTAAACGGTTCATTTCTTTTGGTTTGAGCAAAGAGACACAGTTAATAAGAAAATAATCGTTGGTCGGTATTGATATTCTCTCTCTTTATGATGAGATAACAGAAAAATAAATGAAGATGAACTGGTTTTATCTAGGCCGTATCCCTTCTTTTAATCTCTATAATGAGGTTTTATAGTGACTTTTGAAGTTGGTGTTAGATGTATGATCATCATGACTACTCGTAAGTTAGCAGGTTAAGTAGATATTACCAGTGATGGTGAGTTTAGTTCTAGTGGATCACATAAACATATCTTAAGTCATGTTAACAAATCGTGATTTTTTTAAGATCTAGATCTTCCAGAGACGTTTTTCTTACTTTTGACGAATGTTGAGTCGTTACAGTAGAACAATTCAATAGCGACGTTTATTTTAATCCTATAACGGCGTTTACAAACGTCGCAATAAAACTTCCCAACGTAAAAAAAACCCGCAAAAAATGTCGATAAAAACCAATATTGCAAAAGTTACCGACGTTTGTAAATAAAAAACGCTGCTATACACCATGATATTTAGTGGTGTTTGTGAATAAAACGCCGCTATATACTATGATATATAGCTTCACTTGTTATACTAAAACGCCGCTTATGTTAAGCCATATAGCGACATTTGGGAGCCAAAAACACCGCAAATGTGTAGTCCTTCAGTGACGTTTTTCATCTTAAACGTCGCTAATCGAATCTATTTTACAAATACTATTTTGTACTATTATAGCCTACATTTAATATATCATGTAACAATATTCAATAACAACCTTGATACGACTCGAATTAAGTAAAAAATACTTAACAAAATAAATAAATAAAAGTTTACAAACATTCAAGTAATGTAGTTAAACATTCAAATGAAATGTAATACAATTTAACTAGAATAAACATGACATGAGCCTAAGAAATCACATTGGGTGTGAACTTCGCACTTGATTTTGCTGCATCATCTGCTTCAATTTGTTTTTGAAGTTCATCATATTTTCTCTGATATGCTACTTCGCTTCTTTCGCTTCTCTCTCAGCTTCTCTCGCTTCTACTTCTACTTTCATTTGAGCAAATTTTTCATCCACTATAATCAATTGTTGTTTTAATCGAATAACTTATGTTTCAAACACTGGTGTTTGAGTTTCTTTTTTCGGATATGTTCTTTCAAGATGTTAAACCAATAACTAGAATTTGCAATGCCTTAACGTATAGATTACTCGAGACATTTTAGTCTGACAAACCATAAAATTGAGTAAATTATCGAGTCTTTTGGCCGTAACACAATGTAATAGTCGCATAATAATGTTTTTTAAGGTCATTGCACACCATAAACTACATCCGTAACATAAAAATATACTCCCGAATTTGTCCACTTGATTGGATTGCGACAAAGAACATCCCACCAAAAATTTTCTATCTTTCTACTTGTATCAACATACTCACACCTGTAACAGACCCTTCTAGCTGCCACTCCATCAGTGCCTTTAGCTCCTTTTCCGCTTAATCATCTAAACATATCTCTCTCTATATACATTCCTCGTATGAAAACCAAAAGAATTTAACGTCAAGCTCCTCAAAGCAAGAATGAAAATGAAGGTAAGTCTCTACTCCAGTTGCATCTTGGAATAGCTTAAACACTTAAAATTCCTGCTAAATTCACACCCTTGCCGTTGTCATTGCAGTTTCTAGGATGGATGCAGCATAAGCTTCGGCCAACTAATGTTGAACCATTCAAGGATCTCACAATTGGTATTCCGATTTTCTCGAAACAATCCACAATCCATCACACGAAAATCGTCACGAGATCGGATCAGCGTGGTTGAGCACGATAATCGGCTCTTCTGATCCCTCTAAATAATGCATTGCTCATTAGATTCTATTGCACTAAACTCATCAAAGTTACTTGTAGTGCAAGTCGTGTTCCTAATCTTTAAATCCTGATTTCAGGTAGCTACTGTGCATGTCTTTCTGCTCAGTCATCATCTCTCACTGATCAGGACAACTTTGGAGATGATGGAACATCCACTGCCGTCTCAGGACTGTTCCATGGCTTTCTCACCATCGGAACGCTAGGGTCCGAGCCTGTAACGCCAACATTCACCACGCCTCTAGAGAACATAGCCGAAGAAGAAACCGAGGTGACCGAGAATCATCTGAAGCTCATCAATGATGAACTGGAGAAGTTCCTTGAAGCTGAAGAACATGGTTCCAATGAATCACCAGGAAGAAATAGTCCGGTTAACTCGATTACACTTGGCGGTAAGCCGATTCGAGAAGTCAATGCTCAAGGTAATGGGAAGACAATCATGTGTCCACTTCAAGGATACCTGTTTGGGTCTTCAATTGAACTTGCAGAAACAAAAATTGCAGAAGAGATCCCCATGGGAAAATGTGGGAAACTGGAGATGAAGAACAAGCACAACAAGAAACCTGTCAAACATCTCATCAACAAAATTCTGAAAAAGATTCATCCTTCTTCTCCTAAAGAAACAAATTCTGCTACAACCAAGAAAAAACTCCAAAAGGTGAGTCTTGTGGAGTTACAATACACTTTCTATAATGATTTTCTTATCAGTGTGGCTTGCAGGTTATAAAAATGTTCCACAGGAAAGTTCACCCTGAAAGTGAAAGCTCCGTTGCTGACAGAGAATCCAAAAATTTGCATGGGAAGAAGATGAATAATGCTCCTTACAGTGAAGATAACAAGTGGTTTCCTGAGGGATTAAGGTCAATGGAAGGACCCCAAGATTATAAGTCCATCTCAGAAATGCCTAAATATGAGCTTCATGACTGTACTGCTGCAAGTGCAAATGGGGAGCATTGGATTAAAACAGATGCAGACTGTAAGTAAAATAGTCCCTTTGGAAACTGATATTTGATTAACGATTAATGCATGTTGCTGACATGAAATTTCTACGTGTTAAATTGTCAATATGAGATGTATCATGTCACTTAAGGTAATGACGCGATATATATCACATCACCCAAATGATAATTTTAGCCTCTATTCTTTCTTTTAATACTTTAGTCCTTAATATTTTAAGTTTTTGTCAAAATAATTTTTGCTGGATGAAAACTGTTAATTACCTAACAATCGATACATATTGCTGACGTAAAATTTTTATACGTTCTAAATTATTAATTTGATATATACTAGGTGATGATATATGTCACGTCACCTAATATGATGACGTGACATATGTTACATGAGAATTTAGCACATGTACAAATACCACGTCAACAATATGCGTCGACCATTAGTTAACTAATAATTTTCATCAAAAATGGATTATTTTAACAAAAAATTAAAACGAAAAATATGGACTAAAGTGATCCTTTAATTCATTTTTTTAAAAGATGGACTAAAGTGATGATTTGATTCATTTCCCCCCCAATAATGTGTCTAACCATCATCTACTGCTGCCATTGTAGACTTGGTGTTGGAGCTGTACTGAAGAAACTGCAACAAATTTCTTATGAATAGCTTTCATCAACCTTATGGCTTTATAAATATCAAAATGTTGTAATGTGTGTGATTGAGTGGAGGTGAACTCAATAGAAAAGAAGACCTTTAGGAGGAATCCATCTTATTAATTACAGCTTAAGGTATATAGAATAGTTAAGCATTTCTTTATTTTAAAATACTCGAATTTGAATCCTTTTAGCTGTCGTTTGGTTCGCATAATGTAAAATTACCTTTTAGAATAAGATTACTAAAATGTTGTATTACTTTGGAAATATCGTATTACCTTATTTGGTTTGTTTAACATAAATGTAAGATTAAACTGTTGGGATGAATATAAGATTACATGAATGTATATTTTATTAAATTATCCATATGATATATGTTTTTTCAACAAGTTAAGCTTTGATATTAAATTATAAATATTTGAATAAAAATCTATATAATATTTTAATTGTTACACTGTTTAACTTTCGAGGAAAAAATACACTTAACATATAATTAATATAATTAGTATATTAAATTTATATTTTTAAATAATTTTATAAGTATCATATTTATTTATATAAAATATAATATAATATGAAATAATAATTTTGTGGTCTCATGTGGACAAATATGTTATTTTTCAATGTATAAGATTTATTTTTTAATAACTCAAAATTAGATATTATTTTAAATAACTATATTTTTTTCAATAATAGCATTTTTTATCTCGTAAAATTATAAATAGTTAATAAATTAAATATTAAAAAATATAAAATAATTTTAACTATTAAAATTTATTAATATTTTACTTAATTAAAATCTTTGTATATTATTATTATTATGTTTATAATTTAGAGTAAAGTACAAAGAACGAGAATTGAGAAAGATCCATATGAAAATAATTTATTATTCCAGATGTATTCTTGTCTAAAGTGACAGAAATTATATAATACCTAAAAATTTGAAGGCACTGACATTTCCATCATTTTAACCAAAAATTGCTACTATTGGTAATAAGTTATTACCTGATAACGATTTTTCCTGCAAATCAAATGTTGGAATATAATTCCAAAAAATGATTAAAGTTTTTATTTTTGGATAAATTATGCGTTTATTACCAAACTATCAGTTTTAGTCCGTTTTAGTGATTAAATTTTCAATTTTTTCAAAATCATACTTAACAGGTGATTTGCATGTGACACATTTTTTATGGGTAAATTGCATCATTCATCTCTCAAGCATCTCTCACTCCTATTTTGATCACTAAAGTTTATTTTTTTAATTTTATTACTTAACGTTCAAATTACTCCTAATTTAATCAGTCTAACTTTCAAATTTATTTTTAATTTTAATTATATTTAAATAAAATAATAAAAATAAAAAATGGCATGTCACAAAATTATTAATAAACTGAATTAGAATGATTAAAAAATGCAGAACCGCTAAATTTTTAACGACGGGGTATTAAAATGAAACAAAAACTAAACATTAGGTATGATTTTGAAAAAAATGAAAGTTTAAGTACTAAAACGAACTAAAACATATAGTTTAGATACTAAATACATAGTTTACCCTAATCTTTTTTAGTAAGGAAAAAAAACAACGTCGGAAAAGAATAGAGTAAGTACAACAAACCCATAAAAGGAGGAACAAAAAGATACTTTGCAGTCAACTCGGAGATCACACCAACTATTTTTTTGATTTCACAAAGGAATCCTCATGGAAAATATACTAGAAATTTCACGAAAACTTCCCTCAACAGTTGACTCATTTCAAACCTCACCTTTATATATATATATATATATATTAAATATCAATATTTGATTTATTGACCGTTTAATTAAATCAATTAGTTCTTATTATTAGAGGTCTTGAGTTAGATTAGTGACGGACGCAAGAGTTTATGCCGGTGGGACGAACTTGAATTTGTAAAATTTCAGGGGATGAAAAATATTTTCAATAGAAAATACATAGAAAAATCTAAAATATATGATAATTTTAAATTTGCAGGGGAGACTGCCCCCACCCGCCCCCTCCCCAATCCATCTCTGGGTTCGATCAAAGATGTTTCAATCTTTATTGTCAAATGATTGAGAATCATTTCGAACATGTACTACCTTAATCAACTTAGACTAATAAAAATAAATATTCACCCTTAATCAAAATGATAAGCTCACATTAATTAACCATTGTCAGCAAAGATAATAAATAAAACAATTGCCTATCTGTATCATTCAATTTCCCAACAACCAATATGAATATCCTTCCCTATATTTAACCTAAACGTTACTTTCACATATTTATTTCTTCCCATGCCTTAAAAAACTGAGTTTGAACGTCCGAGTTGAGTCTTCAAGTATTAAAAGGAAACCACAGGTGAGTGGAACATGTTTTTTTTTTGTGTGGTCCTGGTCGAATCGGTCATATCTTTTAACAACCATTTATTTCTCATATAAAAGCTTAGCCATATAGGCTGATTTATTATTCGCCGTAGTGATGGAGAAGAATGAAGCAAAGAGGGTTTTGGTCACTTCCAATGGAGATGAGATATCAGTGAACATTGCTTTGCATTTGGCCAGACGTGGTTGCCGGTTGGTTTTGATGGGAGACGAAGGGTGTTTGAGGAAAGTGAAGGAGAAGATAACGGAACCGACGGAAGGGGCGGCGGCGGCAACAGTGGCGGTGGTCGGATTGGATATGGAAGATGGAAGAGAGGGAGGTTTTGACGAAGCTGTTGATAAGGCATGGAATGCGTTTGGACATTTGGATGCTCTTGTCAATTGCTATGCTTATCAAGGTATGTATCCATATCCGATACTAAATATAGGGTAAACTACAGAGTTGATCACTTGCGTTTAAGTTTTGTACAATTTTTTTGATTGAGTTCAAAAATCATAATATTTGGTCACTTACGTTTTTATTTGATTGAGTCGTAATCACTTACCTTTAACACATTGTAACTGACAATGAATTTATAAAATTAAAAGGGATAAACTACATAAATGGTCATTAATGTTTGTGTAAGTTTTTGTTTTTTTCCACTAAAGTAGTCACTAAATCATCAAATAGGTCATTGAACAATAATTTTATATCTAATTTATTCCAAAAGCTTTTTATTTTCTTGTTTATCATTCGAAATATTTGATTGATTAATGTAAAAAAAATTGATTTCTAAGTTTTATTTTTAAAATTTAAAAGAATATATATATATATGAAAGCTTTTGGGGAAAATTAGATATAAAATCATTGTTCGAAGACCTATTTGATGTTTTAGTGACCATTTTGTTACTTGTGAAACTTTAGTGAGGGAAAAAACTTACTTAAACATTAGTGACCATTAATTCTAGTTTACCCTTTTTAATTTTACAAAACTCATTGTGGCACGTCAGTAATTCGTTAGGAGGTCTAACGAAAATTAAATCTCACACCAAATCTTAATTAACAAAAAACAAAAGTGATCAAATATTATTATATCATTTGAATTCAGTGATAAAAAGTGTACAAAACTTAACCTAAAGCGATCAATTATGTAGTGTATCCTTAGATATATTCGTATTCGATTCGACATTGACTCCGATATAAGTTTACACCGGACCGGACATCTTGGATTTTCTGATACAGGAAAGATACAAGATCATCTGGAATTACGTGGAGAAGAGTTGGAAAAGATCATAAGAATAAATTTCACGGCTGCAATGTTTCTACTAAATGCCGTGGCCAAGCGCATGCGAGACCGTAAATCGGGTGGTTCGATCGTGTTCATGACCACAATACTCGGTGCTGAAAGAGGACTTCATCGAGGTGCTGCTGCTTATGGTTCGTGCTTGGCTGCAGTGCAGCAGCTAACAAGAGTAAGTATATTCTATAACAATGACTCAATCTAATTTGCTCGTATCATTTTAATCCGAAATCTGTTGATTTATAAATAACAATCGTAATCCTAGATCTGACATAAACATACACTAACATTACGGAATCATTATTCTCTTCCCGAAAGATCAATATTCGAATTAATAATCCGAAACGATTCAAACTCAATCAATTGGGATGTTGGCATCTTTGTGCCTGATGCATAGTTTTTGCTGCTTGTTTGACAGTTATCAGCTTTGGAGATCGGGAAACACAAGATCAGGGTCAATGCAATCGCTCGTGGCTTGCACTTGGAAGACGAATATCTGATGTGGGAGGGGAAGGAAACGGCAGAGAAATTGGTGAAAGACGCAGTGCCATTGAAGAGATGGCTGGAGATTAAACACGACCTGGCTTCGACTGTCGTGTACTTGATCAGCGATGGTTCACGATATATGACCGGGACTACTGTATTCGTAGATGGGGCGCAGTCTTTAACCAGGCCTCGTATGAGATCGTTTATGTAGGATGGGCCTCGTATTGTTCACGATATATCACTGTGCCTTTAAATCATTAACAGTCGGATCAAAACGACGTCATTTTGGTGAGATGTCTAGTCGACATCCGTTAGTCATGACATCGTGATGTTAACGATTTAACAGTTAAATGGTATAATTAAAAAAAATCAAAGTTCACTGTTATAATTGATAAAATCAAAAGTTTATTTGTCTAAACGATACAATGCTTAAAGTTTGGTGACATCTGATGTAGTTTACTCCTTTTATATAGGACAGGTAGGTAGCCCAAGGAACAATTGTACACTCTTGGTCAAATTCTGCATTTAGTCCGATCCTATATGGTCTAATTTATTATTTAGTCCCTGTTTTTTAATTTGATACATTTCATTTCTCTCTGTTCTTGATGTAAACAATCAGTACAAATTGTCAGCAATAAATTTTTTAAAACTATTATTTTAGTCCTATATTATGATTAATTTCTTATTTAGTCTCTATATTCTAATTTCTAGCATACTTGAATTCTCTTATTATTTTAATTTGGACACTTATTCAAAATTATTAACATCGAGAAAATTTACTTAATTCAGTAACCAGATCTTAAATTCTATCATTTTTAGTTAAATATTTAATTTACTTAATATTTAATTCTAATTCTATATTCAGAGATATCTAATGGTAGGAAATTATAGACATTATGCTTTTTAATTATTATGTTTATCAAAAATGCTAAAAAGCATCAAATTATTATTTAATAATTCAAAAATTTTAAAATAAGAAAACATGTTAAATATAATATTAAATTTAACTATGTTTATTTTAGGTGTCTAATTTTTTCTTATCAAAATCGGTACCTAACGTTTCAAAGCAATTGTAGATCCACCCTTATTTTAGGTGGACACGTGTCAACCTTGAAATTCAAATTTTCTTCAATTAGTTACTTGTTTTATTAATTTTGTTTGACCCATTCTTATGTGTTATTAATTTACTTATATCCGCTCTCAAAAATATTTATAAATATGTTATTGTTTCAAAATTACCATTTAAGTGAAAATTGAAATCATTAACAACCAATCCTGCTATCATGAATTAAGTAAATAATACTGTTTTCTTAAAAAAAAACAATTATGACAGGTGCAAGGGTCCATGTCATATTCCATATTGGGTAAAAGACATCAATCCTCATTGAACTTTACTCTCTCCTATTTTATTCATCGTATTTTCAATTTTTCTAATTTACTCACTGAACTTTTGAATTGCTCTTATTTTTGATCACTCTGAATTATTTTATTATTATTTCCTTATGATGTGACATTTTTATTATAATTTTAATATAAAAATAATTTCAAAGGTTGACGGTGGTTGATGGTGAACGATGATTATTTTAAGCCCTTTTAAATTTAATAATAAAAATATCATTTTATTATTTATTTTAAATTATTTTTATATTTAATAATAAAAATGTTTGTCATACAATAATAATAATAAAATAATAAATAGTGGTCAAAACAAAAATAATTCGAAAGTTCGTAAATAAATTTAAAAAATTAAAAGTATAATGAATAAAATAAGAACGAGAGTAAAGTTCAGTGAAGAATAGTGTAATAATTTACCCTTCTATAATAGAATAGATAAACATGATATATATATATATATCACATTACATATTAATTAATATTTAGAGTGAAACATGACATTAACCCTATTAACAAGCATACTAATTCATTTTATGAGATAATATTTAATAGCAATGTGAGTTTCATTTTCATGAAGACAAGATTCCAAAGTTGGATTTCTTATTCCAAACAAACCAGAAAAACAAAAAAAAAAGGTACATATCTATAGGTGAAAGATGAAGAATCTAGGATAAGTTACATGTTTAGTACTTAAACTATCAGTTTTAATTTATTTAGTACCTAACTTTTATTCTTTCAAAATCATACTTAAAATTTAGTTTTGTTTCATTTTAGTACATGTCGTTTAAACTTTACTTTTTGTTTCATTTTAGTAACTCGTTCAAAATTTAACGTTAATTTTCAAAGGTTGACGGTGGTTGATGGTGAACGATGATTATTTTAAGCCCTTTTAAATTTAATAAAAAATATTATTTTATTATTTATTTTAAATTATTTTATATTTAATAATAAAAATGTTTGTCATACAATAATAATAATAATAAATAATAAATAGTGGTCAAAACAAAAATAATTCGAAAGTTCGTAAATAAATTAAAAAAAATTAAAAATATAATGAATAAAATAAGAACGAGAGTAAAGTTCAGTGAAGAATAGTGTAATAATTTACCCTTCTATAATAGAAATAGATAAACATGATATATATATATATATATATCACATTACATATTAAATTAATATTTAGAGTGAAACATGATATTAACCCTATTAACAAGCATAATAATTCATTTTATGAGATAATATTTAATAGCAATGTGAGTTTCATTTTCATGAAGACAAGATTCCAAAGTTGGATTTCTTATTCCAAACAAACCAGAAAAACAAAAAAAAAGGTACATATCCATAGGTGAAAGATGAAGAATCTAGGATAAGTTACATGTTTAGTACTTAAACTATCAGTTTTAATTTATTTTAGTACCTAAACTTTTATTCTTTCAAAATCATAATTAAAATTTAGTTTTTGTTTCATTTTAGTACCTGTCGTTTAAAACTTTACTTTTTGTTTCATTTTAGTAACTCGTTCAAAATTTAACGTTAAGTTTTAAAAAGATTGAAAGTTTAGGTACTAAAACGCACCAAAACTGATAGTTGAGGTACTAAACGCGTTAAGTTTTTAACGGCGGGTACTAAAATGAATTGAAAACTCAACGTTAGATATGATTTTAAAAAAATTGAAAGTTTAAATACTAAAATGGATAAAAACTAATAGTTTAGATATTAAATATGTAATTTACCCGAGAATCTAAGCCCCCACTAAAAGTTGCTAAGGTGCTTCAATCAAGTGAAAAATAGAATATATGTACATCTTATCCATACATGTACTTCCAAAAACGTGGAAACTTTCATTTCACTGTTTAGTCTATGTCTGCATAAAGCAAATATTCCATGTTGAAAGCTCATTACAGTAATTAATGGTGTTATACTTTCTTCGGATCTTCTTTACAAAATCACTCTTCATACACAAAATCTTCACAGAATTTCTTCGCAATTAAGATATCGAGAGAACGTCTTTAGACGAAGAATCTGACGAATATTATACTTCTTGAAAAGTTATGATCCTTTGACATGATTTTTAATAAATTCACACGATTCATTAAAGTTAAATCTAGTGTCAGCTGGTCGTACGTACTAAGCAACCAACAATCATGATTATGTTAGGAAATAAACCGAGTACAAGTAATTTCCCTATAACCAGATTAGTGAGAATGTGAAATAAAAGCGGAAAAATAATACTACGAAAATCGAAAGATCATCAGAAGAAGAGACGTCATTTTCAATGAAAATGTGATGTACAAAGACAGGTCAACCGCAGAATCAAGTAATATCGAGGCTGAAACAAAGGAATTTGCTGAGTTCGAGGAGATTTCTGGAAATGATATTCAGATCAATCCTGAAGCAGTTCAAGAAGAACCACGCACACCAGAACTGAGACGCTCCTCCAGAATTCCTAAACCAACCCAACGTTATTCGCCTTCTTTGCACTACTTGTTACTGACTGACAATGGTGAACCAGAGTGCTATGATGAAGCAATGCAGGTGGAGGATTCAGTCAAGTGGGAGTCTTCCATGAAAGATGAGATGGACTCGCTTATGTCAAATCAGACGTGGGAATTAGTTGAATTACCACCATGAAAGAAAGCGCTCCATAACAAGTGGATTTACTTGATCAAAGAAGAGCACGATGGGAGAAAACACTACAAAGCAAGATTGGTTGTCAAAGGCTTTCAGCAAAAAGAAGGTATTGACTACAATGAAATTTTCTCTCCAGTCGTAAAACTGTCTACAATCAGACTGGTGTTGAAAATTATAGCTGCAGAGAATTTACATCTTGAGCAGTTAGATGTAAAGACAGCTTTCCTTCATGGTGATTTGGAGGAAGAAATCTATATCAGAGACAGTAAATTCAAAGATTTCTGCGCAAACAATGGGATCAAGATGGAGACAACAGTTCCCATAACACCGCAGCAGAATGGCGTAGCAGAGCGCATGAACAGAACTCTGAATAAACAATCAGAGGGCATGAAGAATGAAGACTGGGCTTTTCTCGACAGACAAGCCCTCGGAGTTATTCGACTAACGTTATCCCGCAATGTTACTTTCAACATAGCAAAGGAAAAAACCACGGCGGGTCTTATGGCTGCTTTCTCCAGTATGTATGAGAAGCCATCGGCCTCAAACAAAGTTCATTTGATGAGACGATTATTCAATTTGCGGATGGCGGCACAACACCTAAATGAACTCAACACAATCACAACCCAGTTAAGTTCAGTGGAAATTGAGTTCGATGATGAAGTTCGAGCTTTAATTCTCTTATCATCTCTACCAGATAGTTGGAATGCTACTGTTACAGCAGTCAGCAGCTCGTCGGGAAACAACAAATTGAAATTCGACGATGTTCGGGATCTGGTATTGAGTGAAGAAATTCGACGGAAAGAATCGGGTGAAGCATCAACCTCCTCAGCCTTGCACACGGAGTCTAGAGGAAGAACTTCAGAAAGATATTCAAATCTTGGTAGATCAAAATTCAGACGGGGAAAATCCAGAACGGAAAAGAAAGATTTTACATGTTATAATTGTGGCAAGAACGGTCACTTTAAAAGAGATTATCGAGCACTGAAAAAAGATACCGGTGCACAGGAATCTGCTAACATGACAAAGGAGACAGGTGATGCCATGATTCTAAGCGTCAACAGTCCGATTGAATCATGAATCTATGATTCAGGGGAATCTTTCCACTCCACCCCATGCCAAGAAATCATGGAGAACTATGTCAGTGGTGATTTTGGGAAGGTTCATCTTGCTGATGATGAAACCTTGAAGATCGTCGGAAAATGAGACATCCGGCTAAAGGCTGCCAAACCAGACCACCTGGAAGCTGACAGGAGTGAGACATATTCCTGGCCTCAAAAGAAATCTGATTTCTTTTGGACAGCTTGATGGAGAAGGATATAGTACAACCTTTTCAGGCTGTGAATGAAAGATTACCAAAGGAGCACTCGTCATTGCTCGTGGTAAGAAGACTGGTACTCTCTATGTAACCTCGAATTTAGAGAATATCATTGCAGTAGCAGATGCTGATGGAAAATCAAACCTATGGCACCTAAGGCTTGGCCATATGAGCGAGAAAGGAATGAAGACACTTCTGTCAAAAGGGAAGCTGCCGGATCTAAAGAATGTAGATGTCGGACTATGCGAGGATTGCATCTTTGGCAAACAAGAGAAAGTTGGTTCTTGAAAATGATTTTTGGCTTAATTACATTTTAGTCACTACACACTTTAGGGTATTTACAAGATTAGTCCCTAAGTTTTAACTATAAATACCCTAGCTCATTTAGCTTCAAAATCATCCCAAAACATTTCTTTCTTCTTATACTAGAGAGCTTTCTTGTGAGTAGTGAGTGTTTTGTAAACACCTATAAATTTTCTCTCTTAGTAAAAGATATGCAGCAACCTGGAGACGTAAGCACAATTGGGTGAACTCCGTTATCAATTTTCGGGTATTATTTTTCTGCTTTTATTTCACATTCTCACTAATCTGGTTATAGGGAAATTACTTGTACTCGGTTTATTTCCTAACATATTACTATCGTAATCTTAGTTCTGACACCAACAATAAGGATTATTATTATGATCTTACGATTAATATCAACAATAAGGGTTACTGTAAACCAGAGACGCTCTAACATCACCCTCTACACATTCTCTCATATTTCTCCCTTCAGAGACAGACTGACCAATCGAAATTTAATAATCGATTATGATTATTCACTTAAATCAAAAAATAAACCGTATACGACCATGATAACTCAAATGAGTTATTCACAATGGTCTAGTCTTGGTTTCATTTTCTTAAAGTATAACACGCATGCATATAAACAAGCTCATCTTATCTGAAGATTCACATTCGCTTATCCAAATATAAAAAAGAGATGAACCAGAAGAACTGCCATCTACCATGGACTAAAAGGTGGTCCCTAAAAGGTCATAACATGAGCAAATCAGACACAAGGAATATTTTCTTACATGGTAGGTTCCGCTACTTTTCCCCCTTATGCTGATTCCCTCTAATAATTATAAAAGATATTTTACAACCGAGTCTTATTAATCGAATAGTATTTGATGCATCGTATCTATGTCTCTAACTATTATATAATATATGATTTAGTATCAAAATATCTATAACGTTTGATAAAATAATCACTTTAACTTAATCTTTTTAGAATGTTTTGATCGACGTTTTATTTCGAAGTAAAATGATCTCTGATGAGATGAGAAACGTTAGTTGACAAACGGTGGACGCTTGTCATTGACGTGACAAGTTTTATGTATCTGAAGTGATAATGTTTCACATGCCATATGTATATAGGAGATGTTGTGACACATGCCACATATACACAGGTTATGTAAATGCATATCATATTATCACTTTGGACATATCAAACTTATCACATCAAGGGTAAACACTGAGCGTTAATTAACCGTTTCAATCTAATTAGAAGTATTTTCTTTCAAAATGAAATGTAAGATACTAAAATTCTTTACGAGAATAAAGATTAAAATAATTATTTTATCAAAATATTAAGAATAAATTTCGACATTATGCCTCTCTCTATATATATATATATAGTCACCCTACTCTTATGCTGCTATAGTACACATCATTTGATCAATTGATCTGAAATTGAATAGCAACGATACAGAGGTAATAAGATGGAGTCCAACAGAAAGCGCCGAGGATTCCTCAAGGCGAAGCTGACCCCGTTGTACCGAGCAGCGAAGCCTGGTTCGGCCACGAGTGTGATGCCGAACCAGGCTTCCGCCACGATGACGGCTCCATTCAGCCTTTGGATTCACCGGGACTACAACGTTTCGCAACCGAAGCAGGTTTCGTTTTTCGTACCTGCCGATAAGAAGAGAGAGAATTTGAGCCAAATCGACACCTTCTTTGGGGTTGCCGGTGATGAAGCTGTTGACATCAAAGCTGCAACTTACATTTCGTCGGTTCAAGAACGGTTCAAGCATGAACGGAACAACTCTGAACAAGTTATGCTTCAAGAGACTCACTAGACGATAATGGAGAACCCTTGATAATTACTCTGTTAATTAATTAATAGGGTAAATTACACGTTTAGTACCTAAACTAAAATCTAGTACTAAACTTTTCAAAAAGAAAAAAAATTGCAGTAGTTGCGATAAAGATTCCTTTGACATTTTCTATGTTGTTGAAGATTTTCATTTTGTGGATATATGGAAGTGGAAGGAGTTTTATCGAAGATTGCTGTTGTAATTCATGTGAATGTAATTTGATTTTAGGGTAAACTATAAGTTTTGGTTTGTTTTAGTATTTAAACTTTTATTTTTTTCAAAATCAAGCTTAACATTTAGTTTTTATTTATTTTAGTACTATGCCGTTAAAAAGTTAACACGTTTAGTACCTAAATTATCAGTTTTAGTACTAAATTTTCAGGTTTTTCAAAACTTAACATTAAGTTTTTAGCATGTGCTAAAATGAAACAAAAACTAAATATTAGGTATGGTTTTGAAAAAATTAAAAGTTTATATACTAAAACTGGTCAAAACTGATAGTTCAGATACTAAATGTATATTTTACCCTGATTTTAGTTTAAAAAACCATTTGTAGAATAGGGTAAACTATTAAAATGGTCACTCAAGTATGAGTAAGTTTATTCTTTCAATATTGAAGTTCTAAAATTACCGAAAATGTTACTAATGTTATCGTTTTATAATAAACTTGGCATTCGACCACTAGCAACTATTACTAGAGGTGCAAACATGTCATTCAGATCAGGTTTGGGTCAGTTTATTTTGGAGTCTAGAATATATTTGGTTTAATTTTATTCGGGTTGGATCGGGACTGGTTCGGATTTAGTTCTGGTGTATGGTAAATTTGGTCATATCAGCTAGTGAGTCGGGTCAATTTTCAGTTGGGTCAATTTTTGGGTCGGGTGACTATCGAATCGGTTGTTTTTCCAGATCAAATGATTTTTGGCTCGGGTCAATATCGGATCGATTGATTTTCGATTTGGGTCAACCTTTGGATCAGGTTAATTCAAATTGAATTAGTTATAAGTCTAATCAAGTATATGTAGAATTGTTGCATTATTCTTATAAAAATATGTCCTCATTTGTTAATCTTATCATTTAGGCTTAATTTGGTTATAAGTCTAATCAAGTATATATAGATTTTCGATTTAATTGCTTTCGATTCTGATTAATTTCGGATAGGGTTAAATTTGGTTCGGGTTGCTTCGATTCATATTATTTTTTGTTCGAGTTGCTTTCGATTCAGGTCAAATTTGGATATGGGTCCATATTGGGTCAGCTAAACTTTGGATTTAGTATGGTTCAGGTTGGGTATGATTCGGGTTTCAAATCAAATTTGATCATCATATTCGGGTTAATATCGAGTATTAGGTGGGGTAAATTGATTCGGGTAATCGAATTTGGGTCGAATTTGCCAGGTCTAACTGTTACCCCATTGACAGAAGGCAAAGTGACATGTTAAGGTGACTTACTTGACCAAAACAAAAACGAAATGTAATATTCAATATGATTTTGAAAAAATAATAATTGAATGACCAAAACAGAAATGTAGGAATAAGTGAGTGACCAAATAGGTAGTTTACACAAAAGATTAATAATTTTTGGGTAATTAATTGTGTAGCCACTAAATTATACGGTAGATTCTGTTTTGACTATTAAAACTAGGGATGGGCATCTAACCCGAACCCGACGGGTTCCGACCCGACCCAATCGGGTTGGATTTTTCTAAAAACAATTTGGGGTCAGGTTCGGGTTTAGGGTGAAAAAAATTCGACCCGATCCAACCCGGAAAAAATATATAATTTTACCCTATATAGTTAGGAATAATTACAATAATACCCCTCCATATATTATTTTTTCCAATTTAGTCACTGTTTTTATTGAATAAAAATAATTTTTTTATTATTTCGGGTCAGGTCGGGTTTTTTAAACTATCTATCGGGTCGGGTTGGGTCGGGTGAAAAATTAATTTCGTCGGGTCGGGTCACGGGTGGAGGTCCCCTTCTTCTCGGGTCGGGTCGGGTCGGGTGGACCAAAAACCCGACCCATGCCCATCCCTAATTAAAATTGTATTTTTTTTTGGGTAAATTATGTGTTTAGTATCTAAATTATCAGTTTTGATATGTTTTAGTGCCTAAACTTTAAATTTTTTTCAAAATCATACCTAAAGTTTAGTTTTTACTTCATTTTAGTACCCGTTCAAAATTTAACATTAAGTTTTGGAAAAATTGAAAGTTTAGGAACTAAAATGGATCAAAACTGATAATTATGTACTAAACACATTGAGTTTTTAACGACGAGTACTAAAATGAAACAAAAACTAAACATTAGGTATGATTTTAAAAAAATGAAAGTTTAAGTACTAAAACAAACCAAAACTGATAATTTAGATATTAAATGATATAATTTATCATATTTTATTTTATCAATTATGCCATTAAACTATTAAAAGGATTTTAATAAAGCCACCGATCATTAAATATCAATGAAGATACATACCCAAATAAATTTGTATATCGGGTTTTAGAATAGGTAGTTAAGACATAAAATATTCTATTAGAAAAGTCAACAAACGTCAACACTTATATTTCCTTTTTAACCCTTATATGTCTCATTTTTTTACAGTTATCAAAATAAATCAATCAAATCTATCGATTATCTTTTAAGGATAATTTTTTTCTTTTTCATTAATCAAATGTATCTCCTGAAACTATTTGCATAATCAATATAATACATAAATTATAGGACGTGGAAATACTAATTCATTATTTATAAAGGTGACCAATGTGAGATGTAAGTATATTTTAGAGTAAGTGTTCATCTTAGAATCAGAATTTATTGGAGATGGTTTGAAAAGAGGCAATCGATCCCTTGGAGGGACAGTCGACCGTCTTTTATTACAATTCATGTAAGTAGGGACGGACGCAAAATTTTATGTTAGGGGTGGCGAACTTATAAAATTTTACGGGAAGACAAACTTATAAAATTTTAGAGAGCGAAGATAAATTTTCTATAGTAAATACAAAGAAAATATCTAAAACATATAAAAACTTGAAATTTTTATTGGGGGCCACCGTCCCCATCCGTCCTGCCTAGGTGGATCCGTGCCTGCAAGAATGGTGGTTCGGTTGAAGTGAAGAGCTGGCCTGAAAGTAGGCAACCGGAGTAGTTTATGTGAATTTTCCGGTAACCGGAGATATAATCATGGGTGAACAAGAAAAATCCTCAGTAAAATTGAACCATTCAAAGAGCTCAACTTTCCTCATGCAGACGTATTCCATTTATCTCTTCGATTACATATACATATATCTTTAGGGGGGGGAAGGCAATAAAGCAAACCAAAAGAAGCCATGAAAATGAAACAATTATTACAATTTAATGGAAGCAAAAGAATTTGGTTCGTTCTCCGTAAAGCAAAACCCACTAACATTTGCATACCTCATGACCTTATCTCTTCTTTCTCACCAAGATTAATCAACATCATCCCCCTCCTTAGCCTCCAAGGAAACCCTAAACCCTAAACACGAGATGTTATAAGAGAATTTCGATCGAGAGAGTGGGAGAGGGGGAGAAATAGAGAAATGAATGCGGATTGGGGACCGGTGGTGGTCGCAGTGGCATTGTTCATCGTGTTGTCGCCAGGGTTGATGTTCCAGTTGCCGTCGAGGATAAGGGTGATCGAGTTCGGGAACATGTGCACGAGTGGGATAGCCATCTTGGTTCATGCGGTCATATATTTCTGCATATTCACCATATTGATAATGGCCATCGGTGTTCACATACATGTTAACTAATCCCTACAAAGGGTAGGCCTCTCTCATAATTATGCCTTTCACTGTTGTTTTAGTTTTCATGGTTGTTTGTCATTGTAATTTGTAAGAGAAATGTTCAACTGTGTAAACATGAAGCTTATGTTGATATAGTAAGTAATATCTCAATTGACATTAAACGCTCACATCTCCGGTAGTTATGGTGCTAGAACCCGAGACCTCAAGGAATAACAACAATTCATTTATCATTGAGATCACTTGGTTCGTACAATTAATTGAATAATATATATATATAAAGTGATAGAGAAATGATAATATTATAAGAAACTCTAAACAATTTGAGTTGATTGCATCACATGTCCTTCAATTATGACTTCATTCTAAGTTAGTCCCTAAACTTTTAAGTATTCCAATTTCATCTCAAAATTATGACTATCATTATAAATTAGTCCTTAAACTTTTAAGCATTTCATTTTCATCCCTAAACTATGATCTTCAAAATAAATTGGTCTCCAGACTTTTTGAACAATTCAATTCCATCCTACATTATATGTATATACTAATACTTCCTTTGTTAATATAATCATTAGACCGAGTTAAATTATTATATTTTTGAGAAAAAAATAAACTATGGTTGAAACTGATTACATATTTGGATGAATTTGAGGATAAAATTGAAAGATTCAAACGTTTGGGGACTGATTTAAAATAAGGGTCATAGTTTGGGAATGAAGTTTAAATTATAACAGATATGATCTTGTAATCACACAAGACTAATAGAAAAGGTGTTTTATTCCGATATCTTCGATAACCAGTCTCGGTATGCAGATGTGCGCCTTTTTATTTGTGGGAGCCAATGGCCAGACCTACTTCAACACGGCTGTTCTGGTTTCCTGTGTGCAAAATTTCCCCAAGAGCAGGGGTCCAGTGGGGGGAATTCTCAAGGGATTTTCTGCTTTGAGTGGTGCAGTTTTGACTCAGATATACACAACTATTAATTTCCCAGACCAAGCATCTTTGATATTCATGCTTGCACAATGGAGGTTGTTGCTTTTATGTTCATTATCAGACATGTTGAAGGTCACAAACAAGTGCATCCCTCTGATGGTTTGAGCTTTGCACTTATTTATAGTGTGTGCCTCCTCTTGGCTGCTTACTTGATGGGGATCGTGATTTTTGAAGATATTGGTGCCTTGAGCCACAATTTAGTCACAGTTTTTACTGTGATTTTGTTTGTTCTTATTTTCGTTCCCATCGTACTAAGTTTTCGCGAAGAGCCTAGTGATTCTGACCAAGTGGTTCTTCTACTGAAGACCGAGCAAGATCAGAATGGTCAAGAACATGAAGTGGCATGCAGTGAGGTTGCAGATGAAATGCCCGAGGAAGTAGGTTCGCTGATGGCAGTAAGTGCGAAGAGGACGAGAGGTCCTCGGATTGGGGAGGACTTTACCTTGATGCAGATTTTGATGACAGCAGACTTTTGGCTTATCATGTTCTCTCTTCTATTGGTTCATGATCAGGGTTGACAGTGATAGATAATCTTGGTCAGATGAGCCAATCTCTGGGGTATGATAATGCTCATATATTTGTATCTGTGATTAGCATTTGGAACTTTCTCGGTCGGGTCGGCGGAGGTTCCGTCTTGGGGATTATTGTGAGGTATACAGACTGAAATGATTTGTCCCTGGATGCTGATAGCACCAGACTTTAGTTTTGATACTGGCTTTGATTTATTTTTTTGGTGTGACATTACTGTATAGGGATCATGCATATCCGAGACCGGCAGCCATCGCTGTGGCACAGCTCGTTATGGCTGTTGGCCATGTCTTCTTTGCCATGGGATGGCCTGAAGCAATGTATATCAGTACTATGTTGATTGGGCTTTGCTACGGTGCTCACTGGGCGATCGCGCCAGCTACTGCCTCTGAGTTATTTGGCTTGAAGAAGTTTGGGGCTCTCTACAATTTCCTCAATCTGGAAAATCCGGCGGGTACACTTATCTTCTCAAGTCTAATTGCCAGCAGTATCTATGAACTAGAAGCCGAGAAACAAGCTCATCAACATCATATTTAGCCACGGATTCTGGGATCGATTTTATCAGGAATGTTTGGTGTAGACGAACCGCCAAAATGCCGAGGCTCTGTATGCTTCTTTCTGAGTTCCATGAAAATGTCAGGACTCTGCATCATTGCAGCTGGTTTAAGCATGATACTTGTGTACCGTACTGAGACTGTTTTTCCTAGTCTTAAAGGAAATTCTCTCACTAGATGTTGAGAGCGAGATCGAGCAGTCGAGGAGGGTTCTTCCATTAATACTTTGATCCATTTTAAAGCATGTAGCATGGAATCCTATTCTAAAACGAGCTCTCTGCTCTGTAACCTAGTTCAGTGCTTGTTGATAATATTTAATGAGCATTTCTTAAGTTCAAAGTGCCAGTTTCATTCCATAAGGTGATTCTATTTAAATGATACTAAAGCGGTTACTGGTAGTAGGGGTGTTCAAAATTACGCTACCCAATATATCCGATTCATTGATCCGATTATGAACACCTCTAATCGGTAGTTACTAAACATTATCATCTCAAGAGAGGAAAACTAAAACCAGATGCCATAAACAGAGAAAGATAACAAATGAAACTGGAAATTAAAATTGCCAAATTGGACACATCAAGTTTGTACACTTTCCTGGTACCAACCTGTAAGTTCTGGTTGCCATACAAAGACAAGGTACAAGATAGATATAGTATTCACAGAGTTGATCAACAAACCGGATTACCATCGGTAGCATCATCACCGGCGGAAGCGAGCACAAGTTCGGGTCGAAGTAGAATTCCTTCCTTCTTCGCCTTCATTCTTTCGCGGCGCATCCTGAAGTACTCCCTCTTCCTTGCTCTGTAGCTGTTAGGATTCTCAGGCTGAACTACTCGTGGGTAAACACTAATCTGCAGATCAAATAAAACCCAGAATTCATACAAAGCTTCAGGAATGCTATGATATGAATGAATGGATATGAATTCGAAACCTTTTGCTTGTCCGGTCCGAACTTCTCAAATTTCACAAGTCCATCGATCAATGAAAAGATTGTATGATCCTTTCCAAGCCCCACGTTTTTCCCTGGATGAAACTGAAACAAGCAACAAAATCAAGCTAGGAATGTAGTGATTTACGGATCAAATTATGGTTTCTGTCCCTTCACTATTTTCAACTTCATTCCTTAGCCTAAATCATTAACACCACCAAAAGAGTTCTATTTGTCAACTGATTTCCTTTTAGGTAAATTACGGGATTAATACTTAAACTATCAATTTAGTCCGTTTTAGTACCTAAGTTTTCGATTTTTTCAAAATCATATCTAAAGTTTAGTTTTTGTTTTATTTTAATATCCGTTCAAAATTTAAAATTCAACTTTTGGAAAAAAAAAATGAAAGAGTGGTTACTAAAACGAGCCAAATTTGATAGTTTAGTAGGCATTGAGTTTAGGTAAAAAACAGACCAAAACTGATAGTTTAGTTACTAAACAATTAGTTTAAGCTTCTTCTTACAGTGTTAGTGATTTTTAGACTTAAGACGTAACATTAATGATGGTAGAAGAATCAAATTATGTCAAATTAAAGCCATAATTTAACCTAATTTGTAATGCTTTCAACTTTGAGCCTTCATGCTTCATTTTCTCCTGAAATGGAAGTCTCAGAAGTAATAATTACAGTATAATTTGTTTTCATTTCTTTTAGTTCTAAAGAAAATCAATAGATAACCCTTTTCCAGAAAACGGAAGCTAAAGAAATACCCGACAAAAGAAACGAAAACCACAATTAAATAAGCTAAAGAAAAATTGAACCTTGGTTCCACGTTGCCTGACGATGATAGCGCCGGGTTTGGCCACCTGATCTCCGTAGATTTTGACGCCGAGCCGTTGACCCTTGGAATCGCGGCCGTTTTTAGTACTACCGGCTCCCTTTTTGTGCGCCGATTCGATGGTGAGAGGGAACGGGGATTTGGTCGGGAAGGAAACGGTTGCCGTTCTGGGAATTGAGTCCCCCACTTCGCCTTTCAAAAACAACGAATTGGAGCTTGTTGATAAAGAAAGACCTCTAAATGCGCCCACCAAACTGAAGCTCATTGTTGTCATTTGGAAGAAGATGAAGAACAAAGAGAAGGAAAGGTTGGAGGAGGATGAAAGGCTTATCGTGAACTGATTTACAAATAAATAAAGCCGCCATGTCATCTTTTTGGGCCCAATTAATATGGAGTTCAGGCCGATTGGACTATTTGGTTATTAGCTCATTTGATTTAACAAAACTTTTCTCTTAGATGCGGGATAAATTTGATAATAAAATTTAGGGTAAACTACATATTTAGTACGATGGCAATTTAATCAAAAACCGATAGATTTTGACTTGACCCTATGTGATGAGATCATATTTTTAAAATAAATTGTGTTCGGGTCGAATTTTTTAAGGAGTAGGGTCTAGTACAAGTGGAGGGTGAAAAAACTATGATCTAACTTGACTAAGAGATAATAATTTAATTTCTTTAAAAAATATTTGTTTAATTAAGTCCTTATTTTATATCGGTTCGGGTCTGATTAGGTTTATACTTTAAAAGTTCGGCTCGAGTCGGGTGGAGAATATATGTTTTTTGGGTCGGGTGAAATGGAAGATATATAAATTTCGGGTCGGACCAAGTCCAAGCAAAGGATACTTTTTTTCGGTTCTGGTGGGTTGACCAAATCTCAACCCGTTGCCAACTCTAATATTAAGTCATTCAACTATCACTTTGGTTTAGTTTTAGTCAGTTAACTTTTTTTTAAAAATTATACCTAAAGTTATGTTTTGATTCCGTTTTGGTCATCCACTATTAAAAAATTAATATCATGATGGTTTGTTATCATAAGGTAATACCATGTCATCATTGAAAAAAAAAAGAAAACAAATTATCACATTAACAGTTGTGTTTTCTTAAACATGTGTGACCAAAATTGAATCAAAATGTAAAATTAGGTATGATGTAAAAAATATGAGTGACCAAAATGGAATCAAAGTGATAGTTGGATGACTAAATATAAATTTACCCTAAATTTTATAAAAGTTGTGATTTTAAGGACTGAAAAGGTTGTCTTACTATAGGTGATAGGTTAAAAATTAATAGGAGATGTAAATATTTTGATAGTGGTTTTATTGTTATTTTGTTATTCACTTTTTAAATTTATTTGACATGATTAAATTCATAAGTAAACTACAAGAATAAAATTATCTATAATAATGATAACTATTGATAAATTTGACATTGTTAAAAATTAAGGTAAATTATAGGTTTAGTATCTAAACTATCAATTTTGATCTATTTTAATACCTAAACTTTCATTTTTATAAAATCATACCCAAAATTTAATTTTTGTTTCATTTTAATATCACACCATTAAAAACTTTAGATTTTTGTAGCCTCCTTCAAAATTTAACGTTAGGTTTTAAAAAATAAAATTCAGTACTAAAACGGACCAAAATCTATCGTTTAGGTACTATGCGCTTAAATTTTTAATGACGGGTACTAAAATGAAATAAAAACTAAACATTAGATATAGTCTTAAATTTTTTGAAAGTTTAGTATTAAAACGGACCAAAATTGATAGTTTTGGTACTAAATGTGTAGTTTACCCTAAAAATTAAGTGATAATGACATTCTCACCAATATTCCTAAACAGTTCAGAAAATGTTACAGAAGGATGGATAGAATGTTCAAAACAGAATTGTTAAAAAGAGCCTATACACATACAATACCATTGCTTGACCTCAGTTACCAAAGATGAACATTTCCATTTATATCTTTCGTGGAACTGTACCGATTCGACTTCGAAACGAACCATGTTCCTCTATTTACTGTCAGCCTTCAAAGAGAAAGAGTCCTAGGTGGCTGACGGGATGAGTTCGTCCGCTGAGAAATCGGATTCATTATCGTCTTCCACATCCATCCAGTGTAATTTGGGTCCCTGAGCATCATTCATATAAGATATAACACTCATGTAAAGCTCATAGATGCCATGCAAAGCTTAGGCACATTGCCTTGAAGCACTCATGTAAACATAGAGAATTGCATTACATATATAATTACCTTTCCGAGCCGTACAATTTTCGGAGAAGCCCCAATCATGTCGACAACAGTAGAAGGATCGGCAACTCTTACACCACTGTCAACGACAAAATCAAGACCCTGAAATGGAAATACAGCTCAAATGTGAGGAAAACTTATGCAAAATAATACTAATGGAAGTTTCAAGTACAACTCTGAGTATCCGTTCTCCTTTAAACCAAAAGATTCGGAGGGCAAACTGTTGAGTAGCAGCAGATAAGGCCTAAGCAACAAGTGATATGAAACAAAATATATAATTTAATTTCACTTCTCCAAATTATATTTGAATGACATATGACATATGAACTTGATATTAACAATCAAAAGTAAAATATTCTAGGTCGCCCATTAAAAAGCGATTCCGAGTGTAATTTGTTGGGAATGTAAAAGCTACTGCCGTAGCTCAAGGTGAAATTTTAACTCTGAAAGATTAACTGAACCAGGGAGACTCGTACCTCTGGTCCATATATATCAGCTATCACAACTGGGTCTATCATCCACTCGTTTTCTTTCGGCCACTTGACACTGGCAAAAGGGAACAAGAACTTAAGTATAAAATCATAAAGAGCATGTCTTTAACTATGTTTGTATATGTTGTACTGTAGCAGATTTTTCTACTTTGGGTAATAAAATTCTGTAATTATCCAAAAAGGAAGTCATACAGAACACAAGGAATACAAAAGCAGGAGCTGAATAATTCGTTTGGCTTATCCACTACGAAAAGGGCAAGTCCATTAATGTTTGCAGCATCAACATACACTTGAAACCAACCTTGTGGATATTAAAGGTGCGTCCATCTTTTCTAATATTGCTAGACATATAGCATCATTTGGCATACGAACACCAACATTTTTCCTTGCAGCATATTTTGCTGTTGTAGTGCCATACCTCACACACTGTTTTGGCAACTCTTTGCTTGCAGTTAAGATGAAAGTATACTGTTTCCACAGAAATTTTGTTGCAAATTAAAAACATATTCAGAAAAAAATGTTGTGGAACATATTGCTCAAATAAATATTCCACTTCATGTCCCTGCAATCTAGCATGCAGACGTGCAAGGTAAACAGATTTAGCCAAAACGGTCATACAGTCATTGAAGTTTCTGATCGAAATTTCACTATGATGTTTTCATTTATTACCCCTTGTGTTATCAGCAAATAACAAACCATTGCTTCTATTCTAGCTCTGTAATGCCACAGATGGGTACTTAAGGTTCCTTCTGCTAACCATAATAAAGAATAGGACAAAGAGAATTCTTACAGGCCCAGGCAAGCATTGCTTAACAGCTCGAAATATATTTGCATGACCTTGGCCATCACCACAAGGGAACCCCGTTGTATAAGTGTCAATGTCTCGAAGAGAGCGGCATAAGATGCTAAGTGGCTGCATAAAAGCCATAAATAGTAAAACAACATGACATAGCAAAAGTTATATGCATGAAAAAATCGATACTTCTCTTTCACCCAAAAGCTATTAATCAATAGAGAATAACTCAAAGTTACTATCATATTTATAAAGTACTCAAATTTACCTTGGAAGGTTCAATATTTTTTATTCTGCAATAAGAGAACATACAACAGCTTTTATCAGCTAAAGATTGAATTTAGGGCAATATCTAAACCTAAAAAATTAGTACAAAAAGGGAAATTCTCTACCTGAAACCTACCTACGAAGACGTTCGATGGCTGAATGGCTTTTCAAATGACAAACTATGGCATACCTGGATATGGACATCAAATTCAAATTAAGAAACTTCAAAAGAAGCAGTAAGTTCTAGTTTGATCCTTAATTTTCATTTTTTTTTTCTAATTGCTTCAAGTAAAAAAAGACATGCCTAGAAATACTAAACTGTAACACATTCAAATATAGCAATCAGGGATTTAAATAACGTCCGCTGTCAAATGATAGTGTGTCAACCGATACCATTATTGCATGATCGCGAATCGCGCAATCACTGCAATTGTGCAGTTATGTCTGCAATCATAATAAACACAACGCGGTTGAAACTGCAATTGCAACTGCGATTTAAATACCTGATAGCAACTGATTAAAATTTACATCCAAACATGATTTCCGCTTCCATAAACAAAAATGAAAAAGCAATAATAATCAAAGAGCTCTTACACTGTATCAGTTGGAATAACACCAACAGCTCCCTGGTTTAAAAGTTCAATTACAGGTTTGAGTTTCCAGTTCTCTGTTCCTGATGGATCAACTTGCACGTAAACCAAATCATCCACCTGCCAATTTCATTTTATTTTATTTTTCTTTTGCACTTAACTTTGCACCAATATTATCAAATCGAGAAGAAATTAGACCTTGGACAATCGAGGAGCAGAGTATTTGAGACGCTTCGGACTCCTTTTGGCGGCCATGGCTAAGACTCGAAGCTTACCGAGTTTAGCGTTATCAAGACTGACGCGGCCGCGAGACGGCACCAGGCGCGAAGGTCCGGCAGCGAATGAGTGGCGAAAGGAAAGCGAGTGAGTTGACTCGGAACTGAACAGTTTCATTCCCGCCATTTGTAGGAGGATCGAATTCTGTAGTTTTATGTGGAATTGGGAAGAGCTATCAAAAAGCAATGAAGAATGGAGATAGACGTGACCGCCATTTACAGGTAAGTTTCGTCAATGTATTTTCTGCTGATTTATATGGCACTGCAATTGTCGCATTTGTTCACTGATCTGGCTTTGATGTCTTATTCAGTGTGCACGTAATAGGAGGACTGCCATGAGCAGAACCCAAAAAGTGAGAGGAGTTGGCTGGGATGTTTCTGCCATAGGGAATGGTTGGTTTTGTTGATCTCCGACTTGCAATTAGTTTTCCGAACTTATATTTCTCGTGTGTGCATGTGTGCTCTTCACGTCTGTGTGCAGAATCATGAATGAATTAGAGTCTGCTTATTTCCTTAGGATTTCTATTGATTTCCCCCTTTAAATCTATGTATATGTTCATGCTGTTCTGTAAATTTAGTATACATAACCACATCTCAAATTGTCATTATAGATGTGCTGTTATATTCGACTTTATATCGTATTTCTGGCCTTTCAGCTGTCTGCGGTGGTGCCAAACTGGCTGATGTACTTGAGCTCGTTGGGATACCAAAGTTGACAAGTAGCACTCTGTCTGGTGGAAAGCACGTCGAATTTGTGAGCATTGATAAGTGTAAGGTAGTAAGTTCGCCTATTGAATTTCGTTGTCGAATTTTCTGCTGTTAGATGACTTTTTTCTTTCTTTCAATATGAGAACATGGCTTCATTTTTTAAATAAATGTAGGAGGAGAATGGAGGCCCATACAAGGCATCAATTCCACTTAGTCAAGCCACCAACCCCGAAGCAGATGTTTTACTTGCTTATGAGATGAATGGAGAGGTAAGGGAAACTTGCTTTCTACAGTATACTTTTGCCTGGACTTCGTGATCATCGACATTTCAATGCCTTGAGTTGATGAAGAATTGTTTCGTTTTTCATGCTAAAGCCTCTCAACAGGGATCACGGTTATCAGTTGAGAGTAATTTTGCCCGGCGTTATAGGTGCACGTTCTGTCAAGTGGCTCGATTCTATCAACATAATAGCAGAAGAATGCCAGGTTGCATGGATGTTTTATCTTTATGTTAAATCGATTTATCATTTTCCGCATTGTTATCTGATTGAGTTCCATTTACTACCTCACAGGGCTTCTTCATGCAAAAGGATTACAAGATGTTTCCACCATCCGTCGATTGGGATAACATCGACTGGTCTACCAGGCGGCCACAAATGGATTTCCCGATTCAGGTTTTACTAGATTTTGATCAACTTAGTCTGAACTTGCGCCAGAAATTTTCTTTTACAAACTGAATTTGCTCGACTGTCCCGATTAATATTAGTTTCTTTCCTGGTTGACAGTCTGTGATTTGTTCTTTAGAAGACGTGCAGTCGATTAAACCCTGAAAGGTTTGTTCTCTATGCAATCATCAGTTTATATAGGTGCAAGTGTGTGTAAACCTGATTATAGTCCTGCCATTATGGGATTGACTAGCCTTCACTCAGTCATGTTTCACTTGGCTTGCTTGAGTTTAGAATTATTCCCACTTTTACAAACGTTATTTCTTGTTTATACTCGAGATAATTGTCCAATTCGAACACACCAGTAGTAGGGTTTTTTAACTCCGCAGGTGGATTTATTAAACGTGGTTCCCCTGCGATTTGAATGCTACTCAAAGTTACTTGGACTGCATGCTGTCAAATGTTATGCAGATAACAATTAGTGGATATGCAGCGTCTGAGGGGGCCGAGGAATCGAGAGAGAGATTGTCTATTGATGTGGCAAAACCTGGTTAGAAGCCTCAAGATTTCAGAAAACCGGGATTGACATATCAGATCACGAAAGCAGTGACAAATGGGCATGGGTGGTTTTTGAGATCACAGTTGATATCACACAGTACTCAGATCGTTGCCAAAGCGATACGTTGTTGTTTCGTTTTTACCATGTTAGAATGCAGAGTGCACCAACTATTATTCGATCATCGGTTATATTTTCTACTCACGGTCCTCGTAAACATGTGTGATCCATCATATGTTCATGGAATTTGTTTGATATAAGAACCCTAGGAACTTACTTATGGTATGACATAGTACTGTTCGGTTCCTCCTATCGACTGCCTATCCATTGTATCGGTAGCTCTTTTACAGTCAAAAATAATTTTCTTTTTGTCGGTTCGCAGGTGGATTCGGGTGCAAATGTCCAACCCGAAAACGTGCAGGATATTTGGAACCTAAGAGGTATTCTGAACACTTCATGGCACCGAGTTGAAGTTCGCATAGGCCACTCAATATGTAATGAACTTGACTAGCATGCCGAAATACCCTGCTTACTCTGTTTTCTCCATGAGTTCTGTGAGATTGTAATACCACTTGCTTTAATAGTGCTGTTTTGATGGATTCTTCTTATGTAATATTGGAATGTGATTTCACATTGTGGGATAGATGTGAATCATTGCCCCCTGAGATTTTTAATGTGGTTGGGAATATTGTGTTTCAGCTTAAATATGCATACATTGAACATTATTTTGATAAAAAAATGTATTAAATGTAGCATAAATTATAAGGACTTGCCTTCAATATGATCTACAATGTCTTAAGGGTGGATTGATGTTGTTTGGATCTTCTCAACCAGTTTTACCTCGCAACAAGACTTTCAATGCGGCGTCAGAGATATCAGTCAAGCGTGATGCTGCATTGTTCTTGGTTTGGAAGGTTAAGAAATGGGTCGGGGCCGGATCGCAGAAACAGCTCAAGGATACAGTAGAGGATGTCATTGCACACGTTGAGGGAATCATTCATGACAAGAAGAGAGACTGACAAAAACAGAGAGAATCTCGTCAAAAAGATCTCTTACCGGGGCTGATAATATCCAGTAACAAGGAAGTGATGAGAGATATGACCACGAGCTTCATCATGGCAGCAAGGGATATAACTTCGGCTGTAATGACATGGCTCATGTGGTTGCTTTCCTGCCATCCATTTACAGAGCAAGAGCTTGTGAAAGAGAGACATTATGGACAAAAGCTTGTCAGATTAAGAATCATTGAAGGGACTTCGATAATTGAAAGCATCCCTTTATGAATCAATGAGGCTTTATCCACCAGTGGCGTGGGACTCCAAGCATGCCATGGTTGATGACTTATTGCCCGGTGGCACTCCGGTAATGCCGGAGATAGGGTAACATATTTCCCCATGAATTCGACCAAGCCGTAAGTTTATTGAATCTGCAAGCTACCATGAAGAAACACCAAGGAAAATTTGAAATCAAACTGACTCAATGGCCGGTGGACTAAAGGTTGCGATTCAGAAAAGAGATCATCCGAGATACTACCAAAATCTATTGAGAGTCGATGTTCGTAAACAAGAACTGTAAGGGCAATATAAGTAAGATGGTAAAAGAAGAAAAAGGGTGATATAAATTTACCACCGGTAGAGAACAGTTAAAACACCTACAAATTGGTGAGACAGCAGTTTACATTCACAGGAGAATGTTGGATTTGGTCATTGATCAAGTCTCCAAGGATTCATCACCTGATGCGGTAGGCCTTCTTGGGGACTTTACGTACACATTAACGAATTCCGGACGGTTTCTCTGAATTTCTCGGCTATTAAGAAACCTATTCCGAGATTTTATGCTCAGCAGAATGTCTCCGACAATCCATGGAAAGCTCAAGGAATTCGTCCTTTCCTGGAAGTAATTTGGGTGGTAAGTCACGTGATACCATGCCGAGGCAAGTTTCTGATGCTCATCGGCCTTGCAGCAGCTATTCTTAAACCATGTTTCGCTTCTTTCTGCAGGTCCTTGGCAGACAGCACGATACGTTCCTTCATTTCTCCATATCGCCTGTTATCTCGCTGCAAAAAACTGCGCTTTGTTGTGCACATTGCCTGTCAGGATTTCATCCTCATACTCTACATAATAGCTCATCAATAAGCTCATTCTCTCTTCATACATTTCTTTATGAGTCCTTGCAACTGATAGGAATAACTCAAAACCATTCACTTCAAGCTCATGATCGTAAGCTGCTTCGGCCATCCTTTGCCAGAAAAACTTTGACCTTGCTTGCACGGTTGATTTGATTGTAGCACGGTACAGTTTCCCTAGTACGCCAGAGGAAGTATACATGGGTTTGTTTTCCCTCTGCATGAAGTCCGGAAACTCCCTTGGTTTAAGAGCACGAGGCATCTCGGCAGGTGCTCCTGTCTTGGCAAAATCAACAGCCATGGAGTGAAGAGTAGCCAATGCTAGACAGTTTTCACTGCGGGGCTTTGTCAGGTTCTCGATCAGCATGCACTAAATGTGCAGTAGAAATTGCACCCAAAGTATCATTAATCATGTAATCAACGAAAAACTTTTGAATTTCCTGCAAATTTTAGAAAAGGATGAGATGAAAAAAAAATATAACTAAATGCAAACCTTTCTAGTTTCATCGCATCAGAAATTCAGGTCGGGTTCAAATTACCTTCAAGGTTACCTCATGGTCCATTATTCGAGGTCTTTGTCCCGTGTAGTCCATTGGGGGATCGGTTTGACACGGGATGAGGTCTTTGTCCCAGCTTATGAAAACTGATCCCCATCAAGATCACCGCCACCGAGCATTCATTCGGATGTGGCCTGCAAGATTAAACTGTAGGTGTTAACCACAACAATCCATTTAAGATCCGATATCAAATAACAGCAAAAGCCAACACAAAATCTCATAAGCTGCCTTGAGATGAGAAATGACAAGAACAAACACGAGGCAGCAACGGTTTCATATAGGAGAGAATGTTGACTTTCCATGAAGAATAGGAACCGAGAGTTAGCATAAACTGTGTGCCAATAATACCTTTCTCTTTCTTGGGGAAGACAAGGCAGTTGACCAAACCCTTCTCTTCTAGTTGGGCTTCGTAAACAGCCTCGAGGACTCGGACATCACCCGGGTGAAGACAAGGATTTTCGTGACAACCACCTTCCCGACCACTATAGCTGTTTCTCATCCACCTTACGGAAGAAACTTTGGTCTGCACATTCTAGTCTGCTTTTCTCTTTTTACACAGAGATAAACTTGACCATAATTCAGTGTACCAGTTTCGTCCAAACATCCAATTAAGATTCGTCCATTTGGAACAAATATACGGCACCTGCCTTTTAAATCAGAAAGTAGACTCTCGTAATGTGCTTGAAGCATCATTGAGAGGTAGGTTGGACATGGCTCATAAACTTGAAGCTCGGGTGCAAATGTCCAACCCGAAAACGTGCAGGATATTTGGAACCTAAGAGGTATTCTGAACACTTCATGGCACCGAGTTGAAGTTCGCATAGGCCACTCGAATATGTAATGAACTTGACTAGCATGCCGAAATACCCTGCTTACAATGTTTTCTCCACGAGTTCTGTGAGATTGTAATACCACTTGCTTTAATAGTGCTGTTTTGATGGATTCTTCTTATGTAATATTGGAATGTGATTTCACATTGTGGGTTAGATGTGAATCATTGCCCCCTGAGATTTTTAATGTGGTTGGGAATATTGTGTTTCAGCTTAAATATGCATACATTGAACATTATTTTGATAAAAAAATGTATTAAATGTAGCATAAATTATAAGGACTTGCCTTCAATATGATCTACAATGTCTTAAGGGTGGATTGATGTTGTTTGGATCTTCTCAACCAGTTTTACCTCGCAACAAGACTTTCAATGCGGCGTCAGAGATATCAGTCAAGCGTGATGCTGCATTGTTCTTGGTTTGGAAGGTTAAGAAATGGGTCGGGGCCGGATCGCAGAAACAGCTCAAGGATACAGTAGAGGATGTCATTGCACACGTTGAGGGAATCATTCATGACAAGAAGAGAGACTGACAAAAACAGAGAATCTCGTCAAAAAGATCTCTTACCGGGGCTGATAATATCCAGTAACAAGGAAGTGATAAGAGATATGACCACGAGCTTCATCATGGCAGTAAGATAATTGAAAGCATCCCTTTATGAATCAATGAGGCTTTATCCACCAGTGGCGTGGGACTCCAAGCATGCCATGGTTGATGACTTATTGCCCGGTGGCACTCCGGTACATGCCGGAGATAGGGTAACATATTTTCCCCATGAATTCGACCAAGCCGTAAGTTTATTGAATCTGCAAGCTACCATGAAGAAACACCAAGGAAAATTTGAAATCAAACTGACTCAGATGGCCGGTGGACTAAAGGTTGCGATTCAGAAAAGAGATCATCCGAGATACTACCAAAATCTATTGAGAGTCGATGTTCGTAAACAAGAACTGTAAGGGCAATATAAGTAAGATGGTAAAAGAAGAAAAAGGGTGATATAAATTTACCACCGGTAGAGAACAGTTAAAACACCTACAAATTGGTGAGACAGCAGTTTACATTCACAGGAGAATGTTGGATTTGGTCATTGATCAAGTCTCCAAGGATTCATCACCTGATGCGGTAGGCCTTCTTGGGGACTTTACGTACACATTAACGAATTCCGGACGGTTTCTCTGAATTTCTCGGCTATTAAGAAACCTATTCCGAGATTTTATGCTCAGCAGAATGTCTCCGACAATCCATGGAAAGCTCAAGGAATTCGTCCTTTCCTGGAAGTAATTTGGGTGGTAAGTCACGTGATACCATGCCGAGGCAAGTTTCTGATGCTCATCGGCCTTGCAGCAGCTATTCTTAAACCATTGTTTCGCTTCTTTCTGCAGGTCCTTGGCAGACAGCACGATACGTTCCTTCATTTCTCCATATCGCCTGTTATCTCGCTGCAAAAACTGCGCTTTGTTGTGCACATTGCCTGTCAGGATTTCATCCTCATACTCTACCTCATAATAGCTCATCAATAAGCTCATTCTCTCTTCATACATTTCTTTATGAGTCCTTGCAACTGATAGGAATAACTCAAAACCATTCACTTCAAGCTCATGATCGTAAGCTGCTTCGGCCATCACCTTTGTCCAGAAAAACTTTGACCTTGCTTGCACGGTTGATTTGATTGTAGCACGGTACAGTTTCCCTAGTACGCCAGAGGAAGTATACATGGGTTTGTTTTCCCTCTGCATGAAGTCCGGAAACTCCCTTGGTTTAAGAGCACGAGGCATCTCGGCAGGTGCTCCTGTCTTGGCAAAATCAACAGCCATGGAGTGAAGAGTAGCCAATGCTAGACAGTTTTCACTGCGGGCTTTGTCAGGTTCTCGATCAGCATGCACTAAATGTGCAGTAGAAATTGCACCCAAAGTATCATTAATCATGTAATCAACGAAAAACTTTTGAATTTCCTGCAAATTTTAGAAAAGGATGAAGATGAAAATAAAATATAACTAAATGCAAACCTTTTCTAGTTTCATCGCATCAGAAATTCAGGTCGGGTTCAAATTACCTTCAAGGTTACCTCATGGTCCATTATTCGAGGTCTTTGTCCCGTGTAGTCCATTGGGGGATCGGTTTGACACGGGATGAGGTCTTTGTCCCAGCTTATGAAAAACTGATCCCCATCAAGATCACCGCCCGAGCATTCATTCGGATGTGGCCTGCAAGATTAAACTGTAGGTGTTAACCACAACAATCCATTTAAGATCCGATATCAAATAACAGCAAAAGCCAACACAAAATCTCATAAGCTGCCTTGAGATGAGAAATGACAAGAACAAACACGAGGCAGCAACGGTTTCATATAGGAGAGAATGTTGACTTTTCCATGAAGAATAGGAAACCGAGAGTTAGCATAAACTGTGTGCCAATAATACCTTTCTCCTTTCTTGGGGAAGACAAGGCAGTTGACCAAACCCTTCTCTTCTAGTTGGGGTTCGTAAACAGCCTCGAGGACTCGGACATCACCCGGGTGAAGACAAGGATTTTTCGTGACAACCACCTTCCCGACCACTATAGCTGTTTCCTCATCCACCTTACGGAAGAAACTTTGGTCTGCACATTCTAGTTCTGCTTTTCTCATTTTTACACAGAGATAAACTTGACCATAATTCAGTGTACCAGTTTCGTCCAAACATCCAATTAAGATTCGTCCCTTTGGAACAAATATACGGCACCTGCCTTTTAAATCAGAAAGTAGACTCTCGTAATGTGCTTGAAGCATCATTGAGAGGTAAGGTTGGACATTTGGCTCATAAACTTGAAGCATTTCGACCAGAATGTTCTTGGAATTAACTCCACTTAAACTTTGTAATGCATCCAAAGCTGCTTCTCTATTTGTCAGCATTTTTCCCAGCAGACACAGCTGTTCCTGTTGCATTCTCTCGAAAACTTCATCCTCGATGCCCAAGGTGGACAAGAGTGTAACGATTTCACGATTCAAGAAGCAAGGCATGGACTCACTCCATTTGGTGACATTAAGCATCCTGACGTTAGATTCAAACTTCAGCATACTATTACGCAGAGACATCTTCCAAAAGGAGTTGCGGTCAACAGCAACGACACCTTTGTAACCACCATATCTTATTTGAAATGCTGATGGAATGTGATCCAATCCACACTTCTCAACAACTTGTCTGGCGAAAGACAGAGAAATTTTCCCGATACCATCAGAGAAGCAATAATCAATGCCATCGGTGTTGACTTTAATATCATCAATAATCTCCACATCCTGCTCAGGGACAACAAGAGTTGGCTTAGATGAACTAAACAATTGGCCCATCCTTGAAGCACACTTAGATATGCTGCGTATCTTTTTGAAGCATCCCATCCATTCTCTAATATCTTCTGCTTTAACCTTGTCATTAGATGCAAACATCCAGACCGAATTTGATCGAAGCTGACTAGCCGAAAATGCCAGAAACTCAAATCGCTTATCTGCAATAACAATTCCATCCTGAAGAACAGACAATATCCTGTCATATATTTTAGTTCTGAATGGTCTCGCAAAAAAACCTAGCTGCACGCCAGTAGAAATGGCATTTGCAGAAAGCTTACTCCAATCTTCTTCAACAAAAGTGACTCTCATAAAATCTGAAGCATACTCTGCGAAGTTCTTTACAACATAATTAGCCGCTTCGAGTTCAGGACCCAAGCAATAAATCTTTGTAGGTGTAACTAGGGCTCTATGACAACTCATGACATTGTGATTTTTTAACCTTTCAGATAAAGACAAAGGACTTTGGTAGTTTTTTCCCGTAGATAATTTTGCTTTCACAAATGACACAGGATTATAACAAGGAGACTGTAGCTTGCGAAGCTGCTGCAGAATCGTTACAGCAGTTTCAACTGGCAAATAACTGAGGATACCGATCAGATCAGCGTCTACTGAAGCAATGCTGATTTTTTGGGTTTGAACAAGGGAGTTGAGCTGAAAAATTATTTCATATGCTAACTTCGAATCTGATGGGAACTTTACAAGCGGAACAATTTCAGGTGGCAAAGAGACTTCCTCCCCGGTCTCAAAAGATGGACATTTAATGTCTTCTCTATAACATGGGAAATATGTTGACAAATCGGAAACCGTTAATCCTGCATTAAATTCCCAATAAAACGAAGTTGATTGTCCAATTGATTTTATCCTTGAAAAATCTGTTGTCCGAACCCAAAGAAAATCAAAATCCTCCTTGCATATATGATAACGATCAGATTTGAATTTTGAAGCTACATTTGGCCCAGATACTTTCTGATATATCCTCGGAGCATACCTAACCTGGAAACAATTAATAGTTTAACGTGATCAATACAATTAATAGTTTCCACGCAACTAATACAATTAATAGTTTCCCACATATGTACCCCGGCAGTATATTACATCTCATCATATGGGACAATTCCTTGCATGCAATTACCAAATCAATCAACTCCATGATGAAAACAATACGTCTATAAATACTATTCTTATCGCAAGTAAAAGCGACATTATCAAGGTCATTACTTGAAACTTCTTTAGTTTAACTTAGCTCTAGAACATGCCACACAACATTTCGTCCTCCGGAACTACAACAATGCACACGTGTTTTGGATGTGAACTAAATGTAAAAATGGAGAGAACACATAATATGTGCCATTATTTAACAAGATCAATAAATCTTTATATCATAGGAAAATCCAGGATATCATCTTTGAGGGTTCTTCCATAGTCTATGCCCAAATGTATAACTACAGACCTTAATCCACACAACTAGTACAGAATGCTACACTTTGAGAGAAACTAAAAGGGTGAGACCTAAAATACAAAAAATCATCAATCCCCTTAAAGGTCTGTCGTTTCAGTTCTCGATTAAAAGAACAATAGTCATAGTACTAAATTGCAGCCATATCGCAGTGTAGCGGTATCATTAGCATCGTAACGCTTCTCAAGATAACCACGACACGGCAACCGCATCCACAATTTACAAACATAGTTATTTTTAGGAAACAAATCACTTAACGTTCACAACATCGACACATTATACTACACATTAATAAGCTCAAAATTGCATACTTGACAAGCAAATGTTCCAAGTTCAACCATTCAATAGTGTAAAACAGTTCAATCGATGACGGAAAAAGCATACCCTCAAGAGAAGAGCAGTGCATGCAGAACCATTGAAGCCGCACCCAACAGTCTCGAAAACATCATCGAACAAAACATCAAGCTTGTAACACTCCGCATCGGTCCAAACCCAAAATTCCAGTCTCCTCCTCTCAGGCATGATCCAACCTCTCACGCCCTCCCACCGCTCCAAAACACGGAAGCAATCGTCGTTAGCCATAAAACCCACATTGAGAAGGCCGTCATCGAGCCGGTAGTCAGCCCTGATCGGCCTGGGGATGATATCGTCATAGGTTCGAGAGAGTTTAAGGGAATGGGACTTGAAGACGAGGCGGTCACGGTGGGAGAGAAGGAAGGCTTGGGACTTGGCTTCGAGAGTGGCGAACTGGACCCTGCCGAAGCCACGGGACTTCCAGTTGTGGCGGTCGGTGGAGATTTCGACGGTGAATACGGTTGCGGGGCCGAGCGTGGATTCGAAGAACTCTAAGAGGTCTTTGGCTACGGTTGTTTGGGGGATGTTGGTGACTCGCAATGTGGGTCTGTCTATCTCCTCCATCACCTCTCAAAAGGGTTTTGCTTTGCAGATTTCCAGTGGATGACGACTGGGTTTTGACTCTTGTCTAACTCGGTCCTCTTCTTTTGTTTATTTATAGCCCAGAGAAACAGTCTTGTTAAACGGAAACTTAATTGGTAATATTATGGGAATAATACCTAAAACAATATTATTTAAGGTAAATTATACATTTAGTCATTTATCTATTCTTGCGGCTCCTTTTTAATCATATAATTATTTCAAAATCATAATTAACACTACATTTTTGTTTCATATATATTATCTTTTGTTAAAAACTTAATAATGATGTTGATGTATCATCGTAAGATAATATTACATCATCATAAAAAAATAAAAAAATTGTTGTATTCAGTGACCAAAACAAAATCATAATATAACGATATGTATGATTTAAAAAAAATAATAGTATGACCAGAACACAAGCACATTAATCTATTGGTGACTAAATACATAGTTTACATGCCATATGAATTAATTAAAATTTTTACCCAATTTATACTATTTTCTTTCTATTCGTGATGCCTTCACTTTTGCCTTGGACACAACATTTATACGTACTAAATACATGTTTAAATCCCCAGTCCCCATTTACGAACAATCGATATTTATTTAAATAGTAAATAATTTGATATCGTTTAAATAAGGTTTTGAGTTTGAATCTTTATATGAAGGAAAAAGTTGGTGAGGAAGAGTTGCAGAAGAGATAATTGTATACTTGTCCTAAAATGCTTTAGTTTTATAAAAAAAAAAAGTTCATAATTAAATTTTATCTAAAATTTAAGGATTAAAATAAAAATTAAAACATTTTATTAACATGCTCCGTTATCAAATAATTAAACCTTTAACGATCGTTTAGGGTAAATGATCACATTAACTATTTTGAATCGAGTGACCATACGTTTATAAAAATGAAACAAAAATAAAAATGACCAACTTTGTATTGACTCAAACATTAATTATTTATTTAATATACATTTAAGATTATTCTTATATAATTAAAAATTAATAAATATAAAATTTATTTATTATAACGTATTTATATATTTAACATTAAACTAATTATAATTAACTAAAGGGTAAAGTATAGTAATGGTCACTGAACTTTTCTAAAGCTTTCATTTAGGTCCCCAACTTTTAAAACTTGCAATACAACCTCCAACATTTATTCCGTTTGTAATATGGTCCCGACGTTACACTGCCGTTAGTACATTTGCAATATGGTCACTGAACTTTTCAGGAGCTTTCATTTAGGTCTCCCAACTTTTAAAACTTGCAACACAATCCTCAATTTCATTATAAACCCGAAATTCCTTTTCGATCTCGATTTTACTTTAGAAAAGTTCTTTCATCAAACGAGATAGATCTATTCAAGGTGCATTTACTTATTTTATCGTGTTTGTTTATATAAAATACTTCTAGTTTACAAGTCAATTAACAAATGCTTAAAATATATAAATGATCTTTAATTACATTATATTATTTTATAAAGTCTCACCAACTATTAAAAGTTACAAAATGATGTCTTAAGAGTTTTGTTTTATCAAGTCTTCGACTATTAAAAGTTACATAATAATCACATTATTATTTGTATGAACTTGTCTCTTTATATTAAAAAAGTAATGGTCGTTTGAACCAGACACTAACCCGTTGAATGAAATATGATGAAATATGTTCAACATCCGTAAATTTTTCAAGTTAAAAAATTGTTTATAAAAAAAATGAAGCTCCTTTACTTTTGAAAGAAAACAAATATACAAATAAATTTACAAACTTAACTAAAATATTTCAATATTTATATGCCCACTTAAGTAATCATTTATCGTACTCGAATGATTCATTGAGACTCTTCCATTAATGTTGATATCTATCGCGGATAAAGAAGCTTGTAACATGCACACAAAAGCAATCTGGACGTTTAGCTTATAAAATTCAATAATATAACATTTATTCTATACTATTTTATGAGGTTCACATACATAAACGTGCAAGTCAAATATGAACATGTAAGCATTAAGTATAAAGATCTATAATCCTTAATTAATTATTCAGGATTATCATACTTACACGTACAAAGAGTAGCATATTTCAAATCAAATAGGTACATGCTAAAATTTTATAATCCTTAATTAATTGTGAACATGTACGCATTAAGTATAAAGATCTATAATCCTTAATTAATTATTAGGGATTATCATACTGAAATTGTTATTTTATTCATTAACTTATTGACTTTATTTGGAAGGAATTTCATGGTTTTTTATTTAGTATATGAATTTCTAAAGTTTATTCTCTTTTATTTCTCTTATAATAAGTTTTGTAGGTTATATCTATAAGCTTTGATTTTATAAGACTATGATATAGCAATATTTAAGATAAAATTTTCATATTTATTTTTTAAAGAAAATTTGAGATCGAAAAGGAATTTGGGGTTTAGAATGAAATTGAGGATTGTGTTGTAAGTTTTAAAAGTTTGGGGATCTAAATGCAAGTGTCTGAAAAGTTTAGTGACCATATTGCAAATGTACTAACGGCAGTGTAACGTCATGGACCATATTGCAAACGGAATAAATGTTAGAGGACTATATTACAGTTTTAAAAGTTAGAGGACCTAAATGAAAGCTTTAGAAAAGTAGCTTTTAGTCGCTGAAATCTTACCATGTTTTTGCAAGATGGTCATTTGATTAGCTTTATTTGTTATTTAGCTTCGAATTAGGGTATTAAATATGTTATTTTCCCTAGGTTAAAAAAGAGGAAAATTATATTTAGATCGTTTTACCTTGACATTTTTATATTTTAGTCACTCTATACTTATGCTTCTAATTTGGGCCTGTCATTTGCATTTATTTTAATTTAGTTGTTATTATTATGTATACGTAGTTTAATTCGATTTTGTTTTAATTTATTGCCTTTTTTAATCCTAACATTTTAGTACCATTATATTTAGATATCTTATGATTTACTCCCTAAATTTAGAATTCTTCAAGACTAGTCCTTGAACTTTTAAATTTGGGGAATATTCGATTTGGCCCTCGCTTTAATGTTCGAGGGTCCATTTCAATTATTCAATTCAATAATTGATTAAACTCAATTATGATTAATATTAGAGCCTCCATTTTAGGATTAATTTCACTTTAGTCCCTTAATTTAGGAAATATTCGATTTGGCCCTCGTCTTAATGTCAAAGGGCCCATTTCGATTATTTGATTCAATAATTGGTTAAAATCAATTAGGATTAATATTAGAGCCTCCATTTTAGGCTTAATCTCACTTTAGTCTCTTAATTTAGAGATTAATCAATTTGGTCCTCGCCTTAATGCCTGAGGCTTCATTTTGATTATTCGATTCAATAATTTGTTAAAACATGATTAAGATTAATATTAGAGCCTATAAATTTTAATTTTAGTCCTCTAGTCCCTTTAATTTCATAATTCGACACTCTAAGTTAGGGGAAGCCTTAATTAACCCACTTAGCATAATTAGGTTCAATAATAAATTATTTGGTTGCATTTCGATTTCAAAAATAAGGCAATGTTAATTTATTAGGAAATTAACAATGTATCTTCTTCATAAAAGCCCGGGGGTGATCATTGGTAATTCTTGAAGTAAATCAACATTTTTCTTCAAAACACTGCATCATAATTTTTGAATCATTAAGGCAATGTTCATTTATTGGGGTCGATAATGAAGCTTCCACTAATGTCTGGGATTGTCGTTATTAGCTTTGGTAAATCAATATCCTTTTTAAAAATTGCCTACATAATGAACTCCCGAAGCTGATTTTTTAATTTTGTATACTAAAAGTTGTTATTTTTTATAAAATAAAATATTTTATTAAAAATACCTAATTTTAAGTATTTCAATCGCACCTTAAAAAATTATTGGTGACTACTCATATCTTTTTCTTCAAAACCTTAAAAAAAAGACTATCATCGTAACTAATATGTCTTTCCCTTGAAGGGTCGGTTGCCCGTTGCGACATGTTTCAATAGGGAGAGTGGAGACATCAACTTATCTTACCTGTCTTGTTGACCTCCTTAGAAAACAGTTAGAGAGATTATGATTATTTTACACGATAGAAGTTGTTAATTTAAATTAAAAATAGAAAAAATATTTAACTTATAATAAAAGTTTACAATTATAACTGTAAATTAAAATCTTAATAAATATATTTTCTTATAATTATTAACACAATAAATTAGTCATCTAATATTACACAATGATCATATAAGGAAAATATTTAAAGATGAAACAAATTAATTTGAATAAAAGGTATAATACGAATAGATTTGACCATATCGACAAACGAATCACAAAATGGGATCGAACTATTGTAAATCGAATCAAACGACGTAAGAAAACTATCGGCGAACGCAAGTCGTGTATCCAAATCCAATTTGAAGGTCCAAAAGCTATGATATCAAACCCAACTATTGACAAAATGATAAACGAAAATAACAATCGATTGAAAACATATCATAAATACAGAGAAAACTATATTATAAAGATAAAATCATTAAAAAAAATATAAAAAAATAAAAAAGATAAAGATGTGATATGATAATATAAGAAAACATTGAATATCGAACATCGGTGCAAGAAAAAAAATGAGAGTAAGGGACTGTTTGTTTACTTCAGAATGATTAAGCGCTGAATGATTCAATGACCTGAATGATTCAGATGCTCTGTATGAATTAACTCTGAATGTGACATGTTGTTTGATAATGATTATGAATCATTCAGAATGTACTTTAATGTTGAATCATTCAACACTGTCTTGCTTAATCATTCAGCACAATCTTCATTCAGAGGTCAGAAACAAACACGATGAATGATGAACGGTTCAGCATTCAGCGCTGAATGATTCCATTCAGAGCCAAACAAACAACCCCTAAAACTAAGACTTTGCTTTAAATATGCAACAATAATAATAATAACTAAATTAGAGAGATAATGATATATATATATATATGATTTATTTATTATAATATTTATTATAAAATTTTTGAGTTTAAATAACCTATTGTATTA